GCATATTCTACAGTTTGAGTTTTAAAACATTCTTATGCACGATCGTGCAAAGTTTGGGATAGGAATTTACAACAATACTGAAGAATTGTTTTCCTGGAAACTGCATATTTCGCTTTGGTGATTCTTCCTTCCAATAAGTAGTGGAACAGTGTTTTTCAGAAATGAATATTGCAAGAATCCTCTGTGAACATGTTGCAACTAATAACATTCTGGAATTATTAGAACTGTTAAGATAGAAGAAAACTATAAGACTTATTCGCCACCAATGAAATGATTCAAAGCTTTAATAGCAGATGATGGGGAAAAGTTTGATGGAAATGATTTGACAATATTAGAAGTATAGACAGAAATAAAGAATAATGTAAAACGTATGCAGATTCAAATATCGGTTAAAAAGATTTTTTCGTTTTCCTTCTATATCGAGTTTTTTTCCCGGAGCAGTTAAAATGCGATCGGTGATTTTGCAAATTTTTGGGCGACTTTTGATAAGAAAATTGCTCCAAGATTGCACAAAGACCCGGCAACCGCTTTAGGTAATCTTTGAAGAAGCGCCATTGGAAGAGTAACAAAATCCAGATTTACGCGTTTTTGTTTGGTCTAATCAGTTTCAGTACATACTTAAGTTTTAGTTTTTATTTTATAAGCTATATCTCCTTGCTGTAATTTATACCAGACTCAAATTCTAGTTTATAGAGAACTTGCATGAACATAATCTCAACGCTCAGTCTCCTGCTCCATATTTGTGCCGTGCTGTTCGTTGAGGTGTAGCCTATATAGTTTGGATTGCGACTGAATTTTTTTCTGTATGTATGTATATATATATGTGTGTGTGTAGAGTGAGAACGATTTTGTTCACCCGATTTGAAACTTAATAATTTTCATGATTTTTGTCCAAAATTTTGAAATTTTGCACGGAGGATTTTATGTTAGAGGGATCGATTATATTAAATTTGGTTTTGGTAGATAAAAATCGAGAGGGGTTGTGGATCGTATCTCGAGTAGGGTCAGATTTAACCGCTTTGTATCTGCCGAATTTCTATATTTTTCATACTCTTCACCTGAATGCTCTATACAGTAGTACTGTACCTCAGGATACGAACGCCCCAGCATACGAAATTTTCAGGATACGGCATGAAATTCGAACATATTTTTGCTCCACGATACGAACAAAAACTCACGACGTTACATTAGTTCGCAGCGCCACTTTTTATTCACTTCTGTTCATTGGTCTCACTCAGTCCGCTTGTTTGCTTCGTCGTGGAACCTAATGTGTAACAAAAGTTATGTTAAAAAAATGTGTAATAAACATTGATCGTTTTTATGTATTTTTTTATTACCTCATAATTAAATAATGCTATATTGTAATAATTATATTCGAGCTTCAAAAACTCCTACAAAAATTCTAAAATTATTAGTTTATTTCCAATTGTAGAATGAAACCGTTTTGTTTNGTTCACACTGGCCATATTGCTGCTCAGAGTAATGACATTTGCCTAAGTCATTTTAGAAACATTTTAAAAAGTAGGCAAAGCCAAACCTCTTTGCATAGATATTTTACCAAGCGACCTCTATCCAGTGAAAGTGCTGGTGCAAGTGAAGGAAAGAAAGCAAACAGCAGTGAATAAAAAATGTTAAAAAATATATAAAACAGAAAAGTTACAAATTAGTGTTAAATTATTTTTAAGTTATTTTTACATTATGTTATGTAAGTTAAGTTTTAGTATTATTTTCCTTCTCCCTCTCCTTTGCCACCAGTTTACACCTCCATCCTCAAAGGTAAAGTGCAAATAAAACTTCATTTTTTTTAAATTAATTATTATTCTATTATGATTATTTATTCATTTTCAACTACAAAACGCATTTTTCAGTGTTTTCCTTACTATAGTTATTTTTTTTTTAATGTACTACTTAGCTTTAATTTGAGTGTGTTTTGGAACGAATTATTTGGTTTTGCATGTAATCGTATGGGGAGAAATGATTCATCTTACGACATTTTCATGATACGATCTCAGTTTCGGAACGGATTAATTTCGTATCCTGAGGTTCCACTGTAGTGGACTTTTTACTGTAGTAAAAAATTCCATTTCTCCTTCCCTTGTACAGACAGTCCCCAAGCATTATATTTTTATTCTGTTTATAGCCTACACTTTTTTCCAAATTTCAATCTGTTTTGGAACTTTTAGACTGATGTTTCAGCGCATCCAATATAACACCCATTTATGCAGCTGTGTATGTTTGAGATCTGAAATATCGACCCCCAGGGGTCGATGCAACATCATTGGGGGATCGATGCGGCTAGGGGGTCAATTAGGGGGTCGATTGAGGGGTCGATGCGGCTAGGGGGTCGATTGAGGATCGATGCAGCAAAGGGGTCGCAACCTTTTTTTTTTGCTCATACACATATACTTGTAATAAAACTTTACGGTGGGGTCAATGTGAAGCTTTGGAAAGTGGTTGGGGGTCGACGGTTTAAAAAGTCTGGCGACCCCTGTTCTAAAGGAAGGATAATGCCAACACTTATTAACTCGGCCCACCAGTGGCCAAGTGGTTCCGTTCCCTGAACACTGGGTGTTCGTTCGTGGGTTCGCACCTCGCCAGTACTGGCTGGCCACGTGAAGTTTTCCGGGTTTACTCCATGTTTGTAACGCCTGAATAGGGACCGATCCTCCTTAAACAGACCTCCCGGAAGGTATCGCCCAAGTGTTGCGTTGCCGTAACGTAACTTACTAATTCAGAGTCGTAAAAATTTGGCCAATCCTCTGTTATTTAGCTTTCTTTCTTCTTTACAGTTATTGGTGATTGCACTGACTTGATCACTTTCGATATTATCATTGGCAATAGATATTGGATGATCCAAGCTATCAACTTTAAGTAAATAGCCGCCTCTTTAATGAATAAGATCGATTCTAATTTGAATGCTTCCCAACCACAACGAAACACAATTAACTTCAAGAAGATAACATAAAAACAATTGCCGACTAAAAGTATTTACTCGATTATTTTGTATACTGTATCTGTACTTGCCTCTAAGTCATAGAAAACATCAAGGGAGAAACAAATATCTTCGTAATACAGGCAGTGGCGCACTCAAAATTTAATCTTAGGGGTCGAGGTGAACGGATAAAACAAAAAAATTTAATGCGAATTCAATATAATTCTCATGTGATCGCTAATATAGAAATAGAACACACGACAAAATATAAATAAAAAAATAAATTTTAATTAAGGAAATGTTTTTGAAAAATTTACTACTTTTACTTTGGGGATGCCTGGACCACTTGCGCCACTGAATACAGGCAATTCCACATAACATTAATACTCTGTTCCTGAAAATAAAACGTTATCGAGAAACTCTATTATTTTAAATGGAAAAAATTATGATGTATTACAACATCAACCCAAAATTTCAAATTAATTTCCGCAAACGTAATTAAACAGAAGATATATAAATATAAGTAATATTTATTTATATTTATTTTACTTTCCCCCCGCACAACAAAGTAAAAAACCCAGACACAAGTAAAAACTTCTTATAAAGTGCTTTAAACTTATGATATTCAAAATAAAGTTCATCTTTTTAATAAACTATCATATTTGGATATCAAATGCTAAAACAGTTGTTTTGAATACATTAACGTATACCGTACAGCTGCATACCGTACTGTAAATATTACGTGTACGACAGAACGTAATAAACACCACAAAGCAATAAGGAAATTTAAAAATCACGCTGACAAAACTTTCAATAAAAACAAGGAATAAATTGTACCACGTTTTTAGAAATGTCTCTGACACTTCTGTAAATTATACAATTGATTGACTATCAGTGAAAATTAAATAATTATATATTATTAAACTATCCTGTTTAGTATCCGTTTATTTGTGAAATAAAATTTCATTGTAAATTATAGAATGTCTTCTTTATCCTTAAATCTCCGTATATCCATTGATAGAAAAACCCGCAGAAACTTTGATATCAACAAAAAGGCCAGCTTTCTAGCCAAGACCAAATCCAGTATATACAGGGTCATTGCGTATCCGAAAGACATCCAAAGATTTAGTTAATGGCATCAAATACATCAAACATAATAGAATATTTGGTTGGAGAATATACTTTCGCAAGCTGGCACCATTTTCTAATCGCTTTGTAACCTTGGGAGTAGAAAAGACAGATTTTGCATGTGTCATTAAGTTGAGGGGTGAAGAAAGATGAAGAGAACTGATTAGTAAGAATAGTCCGTACAGCTCTTATGAGTAACAAATCGATATTTTCCGTTGGAACGTTATTAATTTATTTGCGTGGATAAAACGCCGATCAGAAATAGGCATTTTAATAACACGTTACAATTTGTAACGCGTGTTTAAATATACAAATCTTAGGTCGATTCGTCCTCCTTTTAAACATTACGATAACCTAATTTAGAAGACCGCACCCAATAAAAATCGCCGTTCCTATTGATTAATTAACGTTGGTGTAATAATTGCCATGCCACAGCGCTCTAATTTTGAATAAATCGATATAACAATATCTGCATTGTGTTTCGGATATAAGCAATTTTATCGATAAGTATTCGATTATCCGTTTATAAATTTTGCGGTATTCCCGACGCCGGGGCTTTATTTTCTATTGTAAAAATATTACATTGTCATATAACCGATGGTATTATTAAAATGATACGAGGTTTAACTGTAGAGAAGTAATAAGTCAATTTGTTTGTAAGCGAGTGGTTGGGAATGGAGAAAAAGTATGGGCGGGAAGTCGTCTTTCGACGATTTCTCTTTTTAGAGAATACGTAAACGTTGTTTCGGTCGTTTAGCCAAAGGCACGCGGAACTCGGTCGGGGGAAGAAAGCGGCGGCGAGGGGATAAGCGCAGATGCGCGCTGCCGGGGAAAGAACGCGGACGGAAGCTATCGGGTTTCTCGGGCAGGTGGTCGAGTCCCGTTCTCTCCGGAACGCCGCCTCCCCCTTCCGTCTCCCGTCCCGACCGGAAGTTACGTCAACGTCATTCGTTGTCATCTTCCTACGGTGGTGTTTAGGACGCGGTTTCAGTCCCGTCCTTGGGTCTCTTCCGCGGACGGAATTCCGGAATCCTTCCGATCGAGACGCTTCCGGGTCGGAGGGGAAGGGTCGGCCGTATCCGGTTTCGGCGGGACGCCGGTCCGTCCTCGGTGGCGGCGCGCCCTCCCACGCGTCACGTGTCGACGGCGTCCGGGAAGAGGGTCGGCCTCAGTGGCCGAGAAACCTTCGACCGACCGAAGACATGGACTCGACTTTCTGGCAGCGCGGCGTTCGCGACGGAGACGACGACCCAACGCTCTTCTCGACCCGCGACGACTGGTGGTCGCAGCCATGGACGCAGCCGACTTCCCTCTTCCATCCAGCCGACCAGCGTCCGGCGCCCGACTCGTCACCTTCTCTCTCACCCGTCGACTCGGCACGGGCCGAAGCCGCCCTCCCCCTCCTCTCCGGTAAGTTTTTTTTCTCTCTTCCCTTTCGGGAGATCTCGATGGTCGCCGCTTCTCGGTTTCCGATTTCCGGACGGAGCAGGTTTCGACTCTCTTCCCGTCCAAACGAGATGAAGTCAAACGTGGCCACACTCTTCCGGATTATCGTTTTCTGTTTATCCCCAGAGTTTTTCCGTCAAAATGTCGGAGTTTCGGTCTCTCTCGGCGGCTTATTTTGTACTTTTCTGTTCTTGGGAAGAGAAATAAAAGACGTCTCTCGAGTCTTTCCGTCGACAATTATCGACGGAAATCGGGAAATGCTCCGGCTCCTCCTCCCGCTTCCGAACGAGCCCGTCCGAGTCGGGAGGCGGCCACCGCCCTTTTCCTAGCACCCACCTCCTTTCCTTTGCAGATGCGGAATGTTTCCGAGCTGAGGGCAACGTTCGGCCCCGAAAAGAAAGGACGGCCTTTACCAAACGCCAGATCGAGGAGTTGGAGAACGAATTCGCCCGACACAACTATCTGACTCGTCTACGGAGGTACGAGATAGCCGTTTCTCTGGATCTGACCGAGAGACAGGTAGGCGCTTCTTCCTCTCGCTCCTCCTCTCTTCTCTTTCGCTGCCGTCGGTTACCTTCGATTCGTCGTCCCGCCCTTGGCGTTTTTTTCGTCGAAGACGGGCGTGACGCAGCGGCGGAACCGCCTCGTACGCGGACGAAGCGATTAATTCTTACGGGGATTCTTGTCGCGGACGGAAAGGTGAAGTCGTTATCGGAAACGACTTTTAAGTTTTGCGAGAATGAAATTCGACTCCTTCGTCGGCCGTCGGGTGGACGGACTAAAAGAAACGACCACCGGCGTTCCACCCGACGCCCAGGAGAAGGAGGGTGCGGTTCCCACCGCTTCGGAAAGAGAAAGAATCGACGGCGATTCATCTTCGTTGACCTCAGAGAACGGAAAGTGCCGAAAGTTTTTCGGGTTCCAATAGAGAGGAAACGAAATTAAATTAAATTTTTCTATTCTTCCAATTGATAGAAGCTTCAGATTTTCACCTCGTTCGGGTCTTTTCTTCGCTACTTACACTAAGATTGTTTTCCTTTTACGTCATTGTCGGAGAGAATTGTCGACTCGAAATTTCTATTGTTTTTCTTTAATTAATTAATTTTTAAACTAAAAATTTTCTTGTCAGAATTACAATTCTTACCAATTATCAATGATTTATGTACTATTATTTACGAAGTGCGTGATGTTTGGGTCTTTTCTTCGCTACTTACACTAAGATTGTTTNATACAGAGGAAACGAAATTAAATTAAATTTTTCTATTCTTCCAATTGATAGAAGCTTCAGATTTTCACCTCGTTCGGGTCTTTTCTTCGCTACTTACACTAAGATTGTTTTCCTTTTACGTTATTATCGGAGAGAATCGTCGACTCGAAATTTCTATTGTTTCTCTTTAATTAATTAATTTTTAAACTAAAAATTTTCTTGTCAGAATTACAATTCTTACCAATTATCAATGATTTATGTACTATTATTATGTATGCGCGTGATGTTTCTGTGGAGTTGCTACGACAGAAACTCGCGTGTTATAAAAATTCGAAAGGATGGATCGATCGACAAACGGAAAAAAGTAAATAATTAATTTCGGTTTGACTTATTGGTCTTTTGGTTCTAATAGTTTCTCACAAAGTTTTTCGTTTCTGTTTAGGGTCTAACCGGGCTAAGCGCTCTAATCGACTCGTTCAGAATGTAAAGTGGTGTTGGCCCAGTTACGCTCGAAAACGGTTACGATTTTCGTTCTACCGTAATATTTGTTTTTAATGTTTAATGTCTCTAATACGCTATTTAAATAACAATTGTCAATTTCGTCACATACTATCGATTACTTTCTATTATTGATTTTTTGTTTTGCCGATAGTCGTCGAACCGTAGATTGTTTTTATTATGTAGGCCGTATCCAAAGAAACCGAACGGCAGAAGAGAAATGAGAGTGTTTCCCTATATTTTAAGATACTTATTCGATATCGTTTTGACGTTATTGTCTATTTTGACGGTAAAAATTGCGATACCAATCGTGTTAAACCTGCGATTCGCAGTGCCAACGAGAAAGAAGACGGGCTGCAGCCTTGGGATTTGAGTGAAATCCGTATAATATAATTTTAATTATAAAGTCTAGTAAATCAATTTATATAAATTCGAGTGCTTAGAGATGAAAAAACAGAACGTCTCGTCAGAAGTAAAATACCTGAGAGCATTAGGCCCGATGTCGTCTCTAATGATTCGTGTCTCAATAAGGTTAGACGTATCGAGTCGGTGTTAGCAACTTTATAGGACAAAGGATTTTCCTTAAAATCGCTAACCCAGTATCCTATAAAAACTTCATAGAAGCTCACTGTGTACAGAGTTTTCGATGCACCTGTTGTTTGGAGATCTTCGAACACCAGGTTGCCTGTATACGACACAGTCAGCCTGGTGCGGCCTTTTTCATACACAGACGGGGTATGAAAAAGGACGCATCATCGGTCGTTCTCACAGACACCTCTTCATTAGACATGTCGTTCGGATCTAACTGTTAGAAGGTGTGGGACAGTGGATACATGAGGGCATACATAGACTACACGGTGCAAAGGGCTAAGGACGCCTGAGACAGACCACCAGGACAGATGATAGTCTGATCGTGAGACAAGCGCGAACAGCTGTAATGACATCTTTTCCACCATCCAGAAACAGGTGTAAATTTCGCTATAAAACCTTGTCTTTTCTCTTACTGTTGGCTGTTAGACGACTATCAAAAGCAAATTTGCATGCACGGCGATCTCTGCTCATACTGCCATTAGCACCCCAACATTGTTACATGGTGCAGTGACAGAAAAGCATGCACTGCACGGACTGGCAGCGTCTTTAGCGAAAATTCTCTGTTATATTTAGACGACTAACGGACGATCACCGTGTTGATGTGGAGGACTACTTCAGTCCACCTTTATTGTTAACCGTCACTCCCAATCTGGCCTGCTGGTCTGGAGAGCCCGTCTTGTGCGAAGTCGGTCACTCCTAGTAGTGGTATGAGGGACGTACTAGGGGTGACCGATGTCATTGCAGCTGTTCACGCTCGTGTTTTTTTATGGCACAGAGGTACTGTACGTTTGGTAAATCCTGTGCTCTCGTGTGTTGCTTTTTATGGCACGACTGTAAACAGCCCTTTTCCACCAAGCTAATGCTCGGCGACACATAGGATTTTCTAGGAATTTATCCGTCACGTTGCCACGCTTCCCGGTTCTGCCCGGTATCCAAGTTTGTCGCTCATAGAACATTTGTATGACTAGATGGGACAGTGTGGAGAATCTGGAGCGGCAGTTGCAATATCTGTGGGCTAATCTGTCGTAGGATAGCATATAGTGTCTGTATAACTTCGTTTGACTGTATCGTCGCATGTATACATACAAGAGAATACCTTGCAGAACAAATACTACAAGCTATCTCACTAAAAGACCCTTTAAATTGTGTTGTTCAGCAGGAAATTATTTCTTTTTTATAATGTTACTATTTCTTATTATCATCACCGTGTTCGCATTAATAAAGTTTCTTGTCATTCAAAACTCCTCCTTCTTGATGCGTAACTTTTTTGTCAATGATTATGTATACAGGGGTGCGGCTATTAGGGGTTTGGGGTCGACTCGCTCCCTCCAATGTCGGCAAATTCCGCTGAATAGTCGACAAAGTCGCCCACTCCAAAAAACATAATATATTTTATTGGAATGATGAAAGTGTAAAGAAGGGGCATATAAGAATGGGGTCGAGAGAGCCAACCTCATTAACTGGCACTTTGCACGAAGTGTCGGTGCCAGCCATAGAAATCAATTGGAAAAATCAGCTTCCAAGCCCCAAATAATAAATATCTGTATACAGAATATTGTATTTTCTATTTGAATATTCTTATACGAACAGAATATTATCTTCGGATATGGCTAGATTCATTTCGTGGGAGTTAAATAACAGAAGTTCTAATAGAGACTCGCAATCAAAGAAAATTTATCAAGAGTTTACTATTTATCGTCGTACGATGAATTTATTAGAATATTTATTATTAATTAATAGATTATTTATTTTAGTAATTAATAATTATTGTTTTTATTTATTATAGCTTATTTATTAGATGGAAATCTTTGTAACCGCAATAGATCTTTCAATTCACACGCGTTAAATGTTATGTTTAGATCAGCACTGGTGTGGCCTAGCTATACAACACTAAACTACTAACAAGTAAGTGGAAGAAACTAGTGGAGGCTTATTTAAGCCTAGGCTTGAAGTCTATCCCGTCTTCTTCCGATAGGTGTATAGAATAAATAGAAGTGTGAAGTTGACATCGACCTGAGGCTGATCACAGCATCCGTTTCTGTGACCGGGCCGTAAACAAAGATCCGTATACTCTCTTTCACCGATACGTCTTTATTGTGGGCCTTGGGGGATTATCTTTGATTGAACTATCGGGCTGCCTAATTTATTCAAAATTATATTTTATTTTTTCAATGAACTGACGAGTTTTTGTAATATTTTGTCAGTTGTCTTCGCGAATTCTATTACCAAGGAAATCTATATAAATAAAAGAATTTTCTCTTTTATATCAAATCTATAGATGCAACCTCGAATGGCGAAAGACGTGGCTGGATGATGTTCCGCAGAGACACGAAAAATTCTCCAAAATTCCAATTAGACTCCGACCTCGATTATTCGGATAGGGCCATGCGTCTTGGCCATCTCGGTCATCCGACCGTCTCATCTTCTATTTTATTAGGATGACGTACGCGACTTTCTAGAAACTGACATACTTACGCTTGTTTATAATGGCGATCTTGGCATGGAGGTTATAATTATCGGTGCATATTCATTTGTGTTTTGTTTTTTTAAGATAGAAATTACTAGATTAGGTTTAATTTCTGGGAAAAATAAAGTCGTGGACTTAACAATTTCGATTTGTATAAAGTGTAGACGGTGGTCTAATTACCAACAAAGTTTTCTAATTAATACGAGAAACTCCGTTGTATTTTAAATTATTAAAACACTGAGGGAAAACTATTTTAGAGACTTGTCGTTTATTATAAATTTTAAAAAAGATCCGAACCGATTTTTTTTTTGTATAAATCAGCATTTCGAGAAAATCTTGCATGGAAAGAGCCAGAGGTCGAGATCTATTCCAGTTTCTCTTTGTCTCCTTTCGGAGTGGCTTACCGGAAGAATTAAGATTTAAAATTAAGAATTTCATCTTTCCTCCCGTCCAAAATCTTTGAAAAGATGGAATTCCGCGAATCGAATTTTTTCTATTTCCAACCAAAATTCCCGTTCTTCGTTTTTATGAAACTGGACTTTTCGGGTTCTTCGCTCGAGTTTTCGGAATTTTGTGTCGAATCTTCCGTGTGTTTGACTTCTCTCTTTCGTTTCGCGCAAATACCGCTTTTATTTAATTTTATATTTTAAAATGCTTTAGAAAATTTGTAAGAAAGTTTCGCGCTCGGCACGCTTTTCTTACAGAATTTATCTCTAGACTTCTGTCATTAATAAATGATTTTATTCCGTATTTATAGTGGCACTAACTCCGTTCTTATGTTAGGCCTACACGCTTAAAATAATTGCCATTGTTTACCCACAATTATGTCTCTTTGGATTCCTAATCGTTGCTACGTTAATATTTTTAGTTTGCCGACGTTAGTGTTTTCTAGAATGTCGCCTTTGTCACAAATATGGTTATTAGTCCAATCCGATCGTTGTACAGTTCTATATCTGTTATACATACAGCAATAAATGCTAAAACATAATTTACGCGATATTAAATTTTAAAAGTCTTTAGCATTACTTAAACGGTTCCTTTCGGCCTAAGTCTTTTTAGTGTATTTAACAATTGATCCGTACGCGCAATGATTACATTTAAATATTCGGCGCTGCGATTATTGCTTTTTTTCCGTCATGTACTAATTTTTTAAAATAATAACTAGCAATATTTACTTATTGTATTATACAAAATAATATGTATTTAATTATCAGTAAGAGGTAAAGATGGAAAGTTCAAGCACGGGAAATGCCTTTCGTCCATATTTTTACTCTTTAAAATGGGGCGAATTAAATGCACTCTTCTATTTTTCTGATATTCCCTCTTATCCTCGTTATCTTCGGGAACAGAATTCGAATCCACGAGGCTCTAGACGAGAAATTCGAATGAAAACGTCGATTTCCGTTCCTTGGTCTGATGACATTCGGTCGGGTCTCGGAAACGTAGTTTCTCGCAGGGAGAAAGGGACTAAAATGATATTTCAAGTTATTTGCATTTTTTAATTTCCAGGTCAAAGTTTGGTTCCAAAACAGGCGCATGAAATGGAAGAGGACGAAGAACGCCGCGGAGGCGACCGCGCGAGATCGAACGGGACGACAGAACATCTTCGTCTCAGATCGGACGTCGATGGAAGACTCGCGACCGGAAAACTTCTCGCTTTCTTGAACGACATTTCACGCTTTCCACTCATTTTTGAACAAAATATTTCGGTGCCAAAATGTACAGAACAGACGACGACGCGTACGTGTCCGATCGTTTTCCTACGGGACGTTCGACACTTTCAACTTCTTTCTGTCGATGTAAGATTGAGTTAAGAATTAATAAAAAGATGCCTCATCCGATCTTCTTTTCGTTAATGTCTTGTATGTTAATTTCGGTCGTAAATAATCGAGTCGACAATTAAAGAAAAAACTTCGATCAATCGATTTTTAAATAATTTGTTTTCTGACATTTCACTAAAGAAAATTCCCCGCTCGATCGGCAGTCCTTCCCTGTGTTTACCGAGTTACCGCGACTCATCAATCAGACGGAACGGGACGTTACCCAGACTTCGCGGTTCCGTCATCCGGGGTCGTCCGACCAGAAAGAGAAAACAGAAAAGAAAAAAAAAACAACGACGCCATGTGGCGAGTACCAGGATGCGGACGGCCACGCGCCAGATTCAGGTCTGGCGTCCACTCGTTGCCTACCGGCTACCATCCCGGATGCATTTTTTCGGGGGTGGTTCCGCTTCCGAAACGATGTCGTTGGCTTTATTTTGCAGCGGTAGAGTCTCTCGAACGGGCGAAAAGCGAGGATACGGGGAACGAGGAGAAGCGCCCGGTGGGTGGAAGGACCGCACCTGCGACCATTATTTACTCGTCGAAGCATCTGCGGCTGCCATCGGGGGAGGACGGGTGACGACGGACGACCCTTCGACGCGTTTCCGGGCAATTAGCGGACTCTCCTCTTTTTCTCGACGGTACAAGCGATCACTTCGCGACGGTCGCGACGCGTTTCTAAAAACTTTTTACTTTATTAAAGATCTAAAAGATTTTGTTTAATAAATAAATTAAACGCCTTATATTAATCCCGTTGTTGTTAAACGAATCCAGATTTATTTATTTTATTACAATTATTATATCATTCGTAACTCTTACTAGAACGAATGTCCGGCGACGAGTTTCTCGTTCGATGACGCAACGCGTGGACACGAAAGTGTATTTGTGAGGATATTTATTCCGTTTCGATTTTACAGACCAAACTCGTTTGTCAATCAGTTGTCTAGCGCGCGCGGCAAAATAAACACGGAATGTAGGCCCACATTTTCGATCGTCTCCGATTCTATACGAATTTTTTCTGGATTTAAATTGCTTCTCTTATTAGGTAGTTTCTGTATTGAGCGTGTCGAAATGAAACGTTTTCTAAAGAAAATATTCATATTTACCGCATCGATCAATCGAAAATTACTCAAATTTAATACATTAGAAACGGTGAGATAAATTAAACGTTTAAATGTAGACAGTTTACGTGGCAACGTTTTTTTTTTATCAGCTGTGATTCGGACAATGGACGTTCGAATAATCGACGGTCGATTGTGGTTAACGCAGAAAGACGCAACTGTAATTTGAATTATTTTTATTTCGCTTGTTTATGTTTTTTTTCCTTTGGACTGTCTCATTCTGTCCTGTGGAGTTATTTTTTCAAGTCCGTCGTGGGTTCGGCCAGGCCCAGAAAGAGTGACGAGGGACGAGTGCCCGATATATCCGGATCGTGTATTTAAATAAAATATTTCTTGCCATGATATTATAATTATTAGAATGTAGCAAATATTTCAAAATTTAAACTTCAATTGCAATTTATTTTTTAATATATTTTCGTGGTACAATAATTGCGTTAAACATTTTTAAGGCATTGACCTTCCGCTTGGGGATCCGGATCGAATCTAAGCGACAACTCTCCAGGAATTTTTCGTGGGCGATCTGTCTCCATCTCTCGCCACCCGAATCTCCTAAACCCATTATGAGTATATATATATATATATATATACATATATAACTCCCCTTACCTACTAAAAAGTCTCTCTTAATGAAAAATCCTACTCGATTCTTACTACTGCAAGTATACGATAGACACGAATGAAATGTAGCGGTTCACCGCAACAAAGACTTGCAAAACTCCTTAATAGAATTCATCTGATGCCAAGAAAAAAACATCTACTCGCGACCCTTCATGAGATTAGCTATCCCTTTCCTTTTTTTTTTCATAAATATATAAACATCAAAAAACCAAAACACATTTTTTATTAGATTAATTCTCAAATACAAGTCGACCCCCCTATAACACTGTTGATTATTCCGTTTTATATGAATTCCATGTTGTACCAGTCACTTAGATTTTACAAATACGTGAGCCTTCACAGCCCGCCACACATATTTCTAAAATCTAAGTGACTCGTACAACATGGAATTCATATAAAACGGAATAATCAACAGTGTTATAGGGGGGTCGACTGGTACTGTATATACCACAGTATATTTCTTACAAACATATTGTATGATTATAATGCTTTATACGGAATACTATAAGTTTTTACAATAAAGCATATGACACAAATATAAAAAAATTACAAAAAACATATGATGATGTATTTTCTGCAATTTGTTCTACAATAAATGAAACATATCATTTAACTTTTGTAATAATAAGTTAAATGATTAAAAACGTATGGTAACTAATGTGAAAGACATTATACAACAGGAGAAAGCAAGAATATGCTATGAAATTTAAAATTTAGCCTACTCATTCTTGCTTTCTATGGTGCAAATGTGTTTACAATGTTACTGTAATCCAAAGGTTGAGATACTCCTGATTCAATTGAAAGAGTTTTCAAACTAACAAGCCTCTCCTTTTCCATTCTTGAACAGTAAGTTGAAAGGTAAGTTCTGATTAACTTTAACTTTCAGAAAACCTTTTCCCGAGGCAACGGTTGCTAGTATATTTAGTAATATTAGCAGCGTAACCCACACATTCGAAAAAATGCTTTGAATATGTGATCTTATAAAAACTGTAATATCTGTCGTATAAAATACTTGACCAGAAGTAATGCTGTCACCATTACAAGTTCGTCATGAAAGTATATGCCATGCCATGGCAAATAACGCAACTTGAATGTCTACAGTTACTCATCAGCATCTCTAGATGTAGTTTACGCATATTGTTAACGCAATACAAAAAACAAAATTTGTCATCATAATACTTGAGAAGTTGATAGCGCCTCTTGTACTGATTAGATGGCTTTGTCTATCAATTGAATTATTCTGAGCTGAACGCGTCTTTCGGTCTGGAAGGTGTTTCATCTCCGTACTTGTATTCAAACAATATTACGTCGGGCTTACAGAATTCTTATTGTGAAGATTAGGCTTCAACTTCTTCTGCGTTAGCAAGCTACGTTATATTTGGTTATACGTCATAAATCAAATTTTCCCATTCCTTTCTAGAAACCCGCTGATTTTCTCGACGGGCTTCATACTTACCATTAAGCCGAATTACAGACTCTGCAAATTCATCTTGGCAATGTGATTTACGTTTTGAAAGCAATCTCTAAGTGAACTATTAGAGAAGTTGCAGCCGACGTTTTCAGCCCAAAACGTGAACGTCGGACGTCCAGCGCTGCCATCTGGCAATTCTAGAAGTTTGATAATGGTGTTCCCTACGTCTAACATGACGAGTAGAAGTTCAGCTTAAACTTCTTCATTTTTTTTGTGTTTGGGGTTAAAATTATAACGTATTTTATTAAAATAAGGATTATTCAAGCATTTACGAATAATATTGTAAAGAAACAGACGATTTAATCCAGAAATTATTTAATTATTCAACTTTTTTGCACGTGATGTGAACTGCCTATAGAATTTACATAAATTTTCTGTTCATAATAGCTTATTATAATTCTGTAGGAGTAGGTGAGTTCTTTCACAGCATCTTCTACCATAAACAGCGAAATACGTTTGCAAATTGTCTAAAAATAATTTCCCGAGGTGTTATCGGGTTTACATAAGCCACTACTTCCCTCAACGAAAGTATGAGGTAGCCTACTCCTATCGGTCCTATTGTACGATAGGAGACACGACGCTAATTAAAAATAATTATTTAGTGTTATTAAACATCCTATAAATACTTTAAAATAGTTTAATTTGTTTATTTACCTTCGCTGGTAACATTCGTCGTTGTTAATTAAACATTTCCGCCATTTTTCAACAATATGCCATGAATCAGTGCGCGACGTGAACGTGTGGCGCAACGTGTTTTACTTGGAGTTCAAACGTCAAACGTGCACTTCTGCTTGCCGTACAACTTTAAAGTTTGAACTTCGGCCGCAACCTCTCTATTCACTTAAAAATTTTCAGTTTTTCGCAGGTTAAGGCGTCACGCTAGTGCTCTGAAGGACCCGGATCGAATCAGAGCAGTCGAAAACCTCAGGAATTTTGTCAGAAAGTGGTCTGTCCCGGATGTGTTGGGTACCGTTCCTCACCACTCGATCGTCCTCATTATGGGCTTGGCCGAACCCATTATAGATATGGATTTAAAGACCCTCTTAGTGCCCGTAGGGCGGTAGTCAAAACATTATAAAATTCCATCCGAATTCAAGTATCTATCGTGTGTCGAACAAATAACACATCTAAAGCCGCGCACAGATTAAAATTAAAGATCGCGAATCGTTTGAAAACTGAGAATTTCTCAGGACAATAACATCACCAACAATCTGAATACTCGAGAACCGCTCTCGGCATTTTATTTTACTTTTTCATCTGTTTCCTTTTGAATTCGCACGCACGTGCTTGTAATTACGATGATTGCTTACCAACAAGTGTTTGATTATTTTTGATTCTAGTACTTACGCCCGATTGTTTAGCGACCGACAAAATGACGATCACATCTATTTTATGGTAAAGCAAACTTACCGTAAAGGATAAATAATCAATGAAATGCGCAAGAATAAATATCGAATCAACAACATTTATATTTTTAAAAGTGAGTATTATAAACTACCTTAAGTCTTGACTCCATTTGCAAGTTTCTAGTGGCAGCAGCCAGCAATAGGGAAGACGTTCAGCAGCATATACAATATAAACTATAGCCTTGTTTCCACTTTCACATTTCTAGAGATAGCGCGAGCGATGATAAAATTTACTATGGAAACAATCCTAGAAGGCATCGCTCTTGCAATTATCCATGCCACTAACGAAAATTCCGATGTGTCGAATATTTGCCGCCTCTGTTAAGATTCATCACTTTCGATAGCCAATAAAGTGATAGCACATGTCAGAACAATAGAATATACCCCGCGCTCGAAAGTATGTCAGTGCATCCAATTGGCTGATGTATATCAATAGTCTTCTTTAATAGTCGCCAAAACTACTGCTTTTGAAGAAATGTTATAAATCTTCGCTGCTGCCGCTGGAAACTGCAATCAAAACTCATCACGTTACTGGCTATCGAAAGCAAAGTCTTAGCAAGTCGCTAATGTTTCCATTCATACAAACTTTTTCCGTAATAACCGAAGTTATCGCTCAACGTTGCCAATGGAAACTTGCAAGTGAAATTAGGGGAGTGGCCCAAAATGGCACACCTAATACCAAAACCTAGTTTCACGTCAAACATTAGCATATGTAATTTCATCAGAGGCGTAGCTACCGTGGAGCAGTTGGAGCAAATTGCTCCAGGCGCACAAATCACGAGGGCGTCAAGTTAGAAAGGGCGAAATAAAAACTTGTAAAAACATTTGTAAAAAATGTTTGAATTTAATAATTAATCAATTAACTATTAAATTTGAATCCATATTCCAGAATTTTGTACACTTTTTAAATGATTATCATTTAAAAAGTGTACAGTACACTTGCATATCTTGTCGCGTCATTTGATAAAAATATTCTGGAAAGATCAGAACTTTTACAATCGGCATATCCCTCCGACATTTCGCCTAGTTTTGGACCACAGCTGCTTCGATTTCAAATGTGTTTTATACTCAGGTAAAAGAGATTACTTCTAAACGCGAAGTTGTCGAACTACTTTTAATCTATACTGCAGCCTCGAGTAGTTTCTCCGTTTTTTTTAACTTTACCGGCGACAACAGTGAGAGCAGAACGAAGTTTTTCAAAACTAAAATTAATCAAAATGTATTTAAGAAGTAGCATGTCACAACATTGTCTTAGTTCCTTTGGCTATATCAATTGAAAAAACAATAGCCTGTCAACTTGATCTGGAGAAAGTGATTGACCGATTTGCAAACGAAACAGCGAGAAAACAACAGTCTTGAAGTTTTTTTTATGTATTATTATGTATTTGTTATGAAACTAAATTTGCATACATTTTGTCAATACAGTTTATATAGGCTTACTATGTAGTAAATATTATTAGGTACTACGTACTTAAAGAATTATATTATATTTTATTATTATATATTTATTAAATTGAATATATTATTGTTGAAATGCCTGGAATCTGAAATAAATTGTTATTAAGTAAGGTTTTAAATCGAAATAACTAGATATATGTTTTTAAATTAAATGTTCAAAACAAATTTCGCGCGATCTCTTCGGAGGAACAAGGGGCGCACCGATTCTACTTGCTCCGGGACGCTGAATATGTAACTACGCTACTGAATTTCATTTCCCACGTGTTGCATTGAAATTTATTTCTCTCCGGAACGTGATTCAGAAAACAGTTCATCGCAATAATGCATGAAACATCATTTTCATCTTTATCTTGGTCTTCACGATCTTCAGAGTACAGATGGAGCTTTGTCAGTTCTTGCTTGCAACATTTTCTTGGGAAAATCAAGTCTGGTGGGATTAATTTCTAATTGCGCTTACACAGCACATCATGAAAATATGTATTCTTCGTTCAGCACTAGCGAGTACTTCTACTGCCGTTACTTTTATGTAATATCATAGACCATGCTTTAATGTACTACATTATGTAACTTATCATTGCATTTTTATCTTGCAACCTCCCATATAATATGGCTGTCGGAAGGTAAAAATGATTTTGCTAGTTTTGTCAATCCATCTTTCTAACTGTAAGGATTGCAAATTAAGAATCCTATAAAAAGGTTCGGAAAATATTTTCAAACTTTCTTTCCAATTGAAAGCGTGAAACCCCAATCGAAAATTCCTGCATAGTGGGCAAAATAAAACAGTATGCCATTTCGCCCTAATCCACCTTCGTTTCCACATCGGCTTATTGAGATGAGACACTTGATGAGAAAGAAATGCTAACATATCATCTTGATTATACTGTACTAAACCTTAGTTAATTGCATTCAGTCTATAATACTAACTAAATACTAACTAAATTCAGTCTAAATACTAACATATCATCTTGATTATACTGTACTAAACCTTAGTTAATTGCATTCAGTCTATTTAGAGTATCATAAAGTAATTAAACAGCAATAGATAAATAATATTTACTTGATCAAAAATCTATTCGGTATTACCAAAAATCGCAGTCTTACAATTAGCGCTAACCAGGATGCAGCAACAATGATATTATCTATAGGCAAGGAATAAAAACAAGCACGGCGCCCTTTGGGCCATCTTCCTCAAGGCTTTATTCCAAAATCAAGTAAAAAGAAATATATAAAAAATCTTGCAATTCGTTTCCACTTGTTAGCAACAAACTTTTCCCAATAATTTAAACATACGGACTATAATACTGTCATACTTCTTTCCTTTATTGTATCGCCGAAGAATAACACGCAGATTGTTCAATGGGACGCGATTTAGGAAAAAATTATTTTAAGTTTTTGGATGAATATATCGGAAACAAAGCGGCTAATAAGATAAAATTTATTAAGAAAATTTCGAAAGTTAGAACAAAATTTTAAAAAGGTAGACACACAAATACAGAAGACGAAAGTATGAAGTTCATTTCTATCCGGGTACAGAGGAAGTTCCGTTTCGTAATTAGCGAAAACGATAAATTACGACAAAAGATAAAAATTACAAAAACTGTACATTGGTTAAAAAAACGGAATTTTTAAAATATTCTTTGGCACCGTATAAAACTATTTACAAGGCCAAAGCGAAAAATTTTCGAAATTAGTATTTGCCCTCGTCGTTTTATTAATTAAAATAGCTTAACTTTTATTCAAATGACGACGTCGTTACGACCAGAAGCGGCGCGAATCTCGGAAATATAAATTTTATATATTTTATTATAGAATTAGACTTTCGTAACACGGCCGGAAATTTATAATATAGATTTTAAAAAATATTTTCTTGCTTAGAAAAATAAATTTCTAGCCTGGAATAAGAAAATACGAAGCGCAGACCGATATTTTGTTTGTGCCGATTATTTCGACTTAGAATCGCGTACCGTATTTACATTTCGGATAGAAAGTGGGCGCGTATTAAAGAAACTTTTTGGACGGATGACTATCGAAGCCGCGACTAAAAATGGTCCCGTCGACGAATAAAAACTGTGCTGAGCAAATTTTCTTAAGTCGATTCTCAAATCACAAAACTGTAGTCGACGCTTTTCCCGACTTTTCCACTTATTTGTACTTTCTTGATAATAGTTTCTTCTTTAAACACTCCTCCGCGCATTCCGACCGCGACTCCGATCTCTTTCGCGTTATTTAGAGCACCGAACGTAGCCAAGTCTCGACTAAATAACTGGGAGGGAACTCGGTCACTCGGGAACTTTCCGTTCTTTTTCGGTATTTAAAAATTATTATCTTGAAAGTTGGTCCTGAGAGACTTCTGTCGTTTAATCGTTGCTTGTTGATTATTTTTCCCGTTGGATCCGTTGGCGTTGAAGTTGTTGACACGTTCGTCTACGTAGATGTTTTCCACCCGAGATTTGGCCAAATTGCCCAAAGTGGTACGCGGTTCGGAGTTACGACGCTTTAGAAATAAATAAACGGCTGCCGCTCCGGCCAGACATCCAGCGATGAAACAACATACGCCGGCAGTAGCTACGTAACCGGGGTTTACACCTCCACCTGACGATGAAGTCCGACTCATTCCTGCAATAAAAATAAAATAATCAAAATCTTAAAGCGAGTTTTCGAGTCAACTTGTAATAAACGAAATTCAATTCCGTTGCAGCTAGAACTTTCTTATTTTCCCATTCCCGAGAAATTGCGGTTTAAAATATTGATCCCCGGTTCCTGAAAAGAAAGACGAGCAAGCCGGCCATAATATGGTCTTTCGTTACTAAACGGCATTTCTGTATAATGCCGTTTTCTATATTCGTTTTAAGCTGAGAGTCGTGCAAGTATATTTGGAAATCAGAAGAGATGGTCCTGTATAAAAGCGAAAAACCTGAATTTCTACAGCCTCGCAAATTCATAGTATACTTTAATAGTTAAATAATTAAAATATAATTTCGGTCTCTGTTGCGGAACGACCCATTTTAAAAGCTAAAATTAATCAAGAACTAACTCCAATCAAGAATATGTCAAGAAATTTTTTTCACTTTGGAAAGAGATACTGCCTCATGATTTGATTTTCCCCCTGTAATAATCAATTACAGAAGCAGGAGCAGGGAAATTTCTATACAGTATATACACCTCTTGAATTTTCTAACAACTATAATTGTAAAACTATTGTACACATTTTTATTACTTTACTGTGTGATTGTGTGTTTTTTCCTGGTCCATCTGTTTCTATATTATTAAAAATGTTCATATTATTGTAGACCTAAATAAATAAATCTACCTCCACTGCTCTTTTAATTGACTTCGAAAATAATTTTTGTCTAGACTGGGATTAAAAGTAATATTACTATTATTTCCTTTTATTAAAAAAGTAGTAATAATTATGAAACGAATTATTTAATTACTTTTCTTTTTTATAAATTTTGTAAATAAAAGAATTTAATAATGAATTACTCATCTGTGAACTGCACTTAAATATCAGAAAGATCTAAAATTAGGACAGTCTCAAAAATGTTTATCCATTTCATGAAAAATGACTTTACTGTATTTTATTACAGCTGAACAAACCACCTAAGCCATTCCTTGGCAGAATATAATAAATTCTATATACAATGTTTTAACAGGTTGAAAAATTTATGAGTATGTAACTAAAAAGCTTGTTAGACATGTAAATATATAGATTTTATCAGCAAGCAAATTTAAATAACATTCAGATTTTTAAAACCAATTAAGAAATAACAACAGTCTCGTAGCCAAGAATAAATCATTGGGGAGGCTAGAGAGGCAAGTTGAAAACATTGACTGACAGTTATCTAGCCTGCACTAGGTCTATCTACTGCAGTCTATGTGTAATAGAAAGTAACGCTTAAGTTTACACGATGAAAGCAAAGCATATATTACATAAACTGCATAGAGGCATTGCTGACTAAGCTGAGGAGTCTTATTCATTTCATACTCTCCTTTTTAGAATTATATAAATATTGTTTTCATATGATCTTGTAATAATAATTGTAGTAACAAAAAATTATTTATTATTATATAATTATACTGATAGAATCTTACCAATTTGTCCCAAAATACAAATTCGAATTTCTTTATTCAGACCTTGACACTGATTAGGATTTTCTGCAGTATATTTACATTTTCTTTCTCTGTACTGTTCCTTTTTCTCATCACATATTGACCAGCCAGACCATTCTTCCCAACCTGCTAAAGCTAGAAAATATATTCATTGACTAAATATATATTCTTTTTAATTTGAAATAAATCATTTCATACTAAAAATTTTTACTATTTTAAACTTATTTTAAAGAATATAATAATTTACATATAACAAGTATCTTTACGTATCTAGTATACTTAAAAAATTTCATTTTTTGTGTTTGGTATATAAACAATCATTATATAGTAAACAAGATATAAAATTCTTAAATTTTAAAAACAAAACATTTACATAAACTACTTTAAAATAATGCTATTTATTTTATATGTGGAAATATCCAGAAATATATTAAATTTGTGCTTGTGTAAATTATAGCAACAATGTATTTACTCTAATATAAGAAACTTAGAATGAAGATGAATTTCATCAATTTATTGATACATTAGACAGTAGGTTAAAAAATTTTAGGACAAAATTATATTAAGAACATATCAATAGGCAAATTGAGTTATGCATTTGGGATAATTTATATGGAAGCACTCTCAATACCTTTCAAAGAACCTTTTACACAGTGGTGGAAAGCAGTGTTGAGGAGCAATAGCATATATATTAGAGATTTAATAGGATTGCCAATTCCTTGCTCCTAGTTAGTATGGATATATTTCTGCAATTGCTTTCAACTGGTGTCAGGAAATGTCCTTGACATTTTGTATTGAATTGTTTGTTCAAATTTCTGCACCAGACTAAGCACTGTGTAACTAGTGCAAAAAGAATGTTACAACTTATGAAGGTTATGGTATTCTAAAACTACAGTCTTAGAATTGCAAGTATGAAAATAGTAATGTTTAATTAACTCTCTCCATTGTAAGACTATTAAAGGCATTACTGATTATTGATCATACACAATTACACTCTATTTCATAAAGTTGCTGCATCTAGTAGTGAAATGGAGAACTATATTTATTTGTATATTTAGTTCACAAATTTTCAGCTTAACCTTTTAAGTGATACAAAACAGTTTCTATTAATTTGACCAAGTATTTATAGAGATGCAGAGATGAACCAAACACCAAAAATGAATTTAATTTCTTAATATAATTTTAAATAATATATAATTAAAATTATAAAAACACATTTAATAAGAAATAAAAATATGATATTGTAGTTTACTAACCTTCACATGATATTTTATTGCATTCTCTTTCCATTTTTGAAATATCTTTGCATTCATGACCAGTACCTGAAGGAACTGGATTATCACATGTTCTTTCTCGATATTGAATTCCTCCATTGCAAGATGCAGAACATTCTGACCATGATGACCATTCTGACCAATCTCCATCAATATTAGCAAAAGCTATTAAAAGTTTATTTTTAAAACAAAATAATCAAAGCGCATATATAAGTAAGATGTTAATATTTTTACAAACACAATATTGTTACCTGCATCCAGACAGCTTGAGCCTCCTTCCACACAAAATCTTTCTTCTTTTTTCATATGACCAATCCTCACATCATTTGAATTGGGAACATTACATCGACAAGGAAAACGAAATCTTTGTTCAAAATAACCATCTCTTGTAATATTTAATTTTAACCAGGGTGTCCAATTAGTTACTTTTCTAACTTCAGGGCATTCATGTGTGTTGCAGTGACGATATTCTTGATTACAGCCTAAACACTCTCGACCTCCATACTGTGGGAAAGGATTATTGCAGTTTCGTTGGCGAGACTGAATACCTCCACCACAGGGAACATTACATTCTTCCCAACTGCTCCATTCAGACCATTGGCCATCAATTGGTGATGGACTTGGTTCTAAAGGAATTTATAATTTTTTAAAATTTAAATTCAATTATAAATATGTTATAAATTATAAAAATTTTCAATAGATAGTACCTGGACAAGAAGGATTATTGCAATACAATTCTTCTCTATCTGTACCTATACACACACGACCACCATAAGCAGGAGCAGGATTACCACAAGTTCTTTTACGAGTTTTTACAGCATTTCCACATGTTTGACTACAAGACGACCATGCTGACCAATCTGACCATTGTCCATTTTCTAAAAAAAAATACATTACAAAATATATTTTAAAAAATTTAGCATATAAAAAATAAAAACAATTTTCTAACTAGAAACATTAACTGATTTAAGTAAAAAAAATATATTTTAGAATGATTTTTAATCATTGATCATATCATTAAAAATGTATATTAACAAATAAAAAGTATAATTCTTTATTTCTTTCAGTTCTCTTATAAAATAATTGCTAATATATCAAATTTTTTTTAAAGTCTTTATGTTGAGTTCTTTTGTATAGTATAAGTTTTTTATCATAAGTTATATTTTTACTTTTTTCTTTTCTATTTTCTTGTATTTTTAAGCAATACTGTATTATTATTATTTACTTTTCAAATAGACCTTAAATAGAATAGTTACTTTTAAAATTGTTTATTATTAAATAGAAACAATTCTTTCAAAATTGATAAACAATTTTGATAAAAAGTTGATGAAAAAATAATAATGAATTTTAAGATAATTTTAAAATATGTTTAACAATTCAATGCCATTTCAAAGTATATTATACATCTACATAATGTGTATGGATTGTATAGAGTTTAATTCAACTAATTTCAGAAAGCTGCTTTGACTTAATATGAAGCTATTTTTATAAGATATTTTATTTTAACAGAAAAAATTATTATTGGAACAAAAATTCAAAAGAAAAAATATATCCTAGAATTGCTTAAAATATTCAGATTTTTTTAAGATTCACTTTTTTTTAAAAAATCTTTATTTAAATGTTATAGAAGTTCTATCAAAGAACAAGAAGAAAAAGTTAAGTCCATCAACTAATTGCCTAATTATTAGAAAAAATTTTAATATTCTATTCATGTTATTTTTCTATATCATGTCTAACTTATATAAATACAACTCCACTTACATTGAATTTTGTCCATCATTAAAAACTTAAAATAATTCATAGTACAATGCACAGATGTTTATTTTTATAACAGAACATAAAATATTATAAAGATATAGATCATACAAACAAATCAGAAACTCAGATTTCAGGAAAATATTTTGCTATTTAAATATGTAATTTATAATCTGCAGGGTGTTTGTAAAACATTTCTTTGAACTTCATTTAATATGTAAAGATTCTGCAACCACCATGAAATAGCATCACCTTTTTGGTTTATAAATGTTGCAAGGTATTGAGGCATGGAAGATAAAAACTTGTGCAGCAACTGTTTGGGAATTTTTTCCCATTCTTTGCTTAAATGCATACACAATTGTTCTAATGTGCAAAGACAGTGTTGCGACATCTTTCTTTTCAAAAATCTTCACACATTTTCTGTTGGAGACAGGTCCAGGCTTGATGCTGACCATAGGAGTACAAATATATGATTAGATTTCAGCCAGGTTTTAGTTTTTCTAGCATTGTGCAATGAGTGTTATCATGCTGGAGAATACATGCTCATCTTTGGAAAAGTTTACATTTTGATTTGCATAGATATTGCTGAATGATTAGAATATAGACTAGAGTTCACAGCACCATCAAAGAAATGCAAACCTCCAACTTCTTCTGCACTCATGCATCCCCAAAACATTACAGATTGTGGCTTATGGACTCATCTTGAATAATATGCTGGATTATTAGCTTCATCTTTAGTATAAATGACTTTATTGCCTATATTTCCATGGTTTACATGAAATGTTGATTCATCAAACAACAGAATTTTCTTCCAATCAACATTTGTCCACTTCAGATGAATTCTGGCCCAAGTGCTTACATGATTCCTTCATGAGAGGTTTCCCCTTAGATTTGTACAGCCTGTATTTGCATCATTGGATATATCTACATACTGTGCATGGGATATTAGAATATTCCCTTGCCAATTTTGTCAAATCTTCTATGGAAACTTGAGTATTTTGGGAAATATAACACCAAAAGGACTGCAGTTGTCTGGAACTGAGAGGTAGTTTTCTTCCTAAAGCTTTACCTGGATAAGTGTTTTCCATTTCTCAAAAACAATTTATGATTTCTTGGACTGTAGACTGAGATATCTTGCACAATACTGCATTGAGAATCCTTCCTTTATACTTCTGGACAATAATTTTCCTGATTATACCTGCCTTGCCTCTGACCATTTTTCACAGACATTAAATGAACCACTGAAGGTAATGTCTTTTATATACAATACATGTGACATAAGAAAAACTACAAGAAACGCCAGAAAATTTTCCAAAAATCCTTTCTAAATGAACTTTATTGCAATATTTTGCCAAGGAGTTTCAAGATTGCATAGAAAAGTATTTCAAACTAATGAAATCCAAGGTAATAAGTTATTGGAATAAACTTGTTTATTTATAAAAGCAATAATTTACAGCACTTTGTTTAATATGCATGCAAGAGTTTTTAAATTTATGTATATTGCTGATAGTTTAAATGGTGAATGAAGTCCATTGCAAACAGGATTGTATATTTGACTTGTTGAAATAAGAATGACTGTTCCACCAGCATGTTGTTTACACTGACATTATGTCAAAACAAAAATCTATCACTATGCAGCTCCACTAGGGGCAACAGTCAATGCAACATGCTATTTTCATTTTCATTTAAACAATCCAAATACATTAAATATCATTTGTAAATCAAAATGTTTCTTCTTGAATACTTAAATACAAAGCAAACTTCTTAAGAACTCAGTATGAATAAAGAATAAGCTTTATCATAAATAAATTCTTTGTAGAACTTTTAGTCAAAACCACTCCATACTTTTTTACTTGCTTAAGGTGCTTGGGTTTTTGAAATTTTAGTTATATTGTAAGAAATGAGCACTTTTTCATTCTTGTAAATTTTTTGGGTCATTTGAGCATATCATTACTGAATATAAAAAATAGTTTTATATTCTACATCAATATTTATAAAAACTACAATTTATGAATTATTTAAATATGTAAATACTAATTGTTTTTTGTTTATTTTGGCAACTTTCAGTTAATTTATCAATGTTTCAATGATCAATACTTTTAACTCCTTACAAATTACTGCTTATTTGTTGTAAATTAGTAATTTAAGTCATTTTGGTGCTTCTTCAAGCATTTCATAGTATATGTTATACAGTATATTTAATATATTTCTTATAAAGTTCACATATGACTATGTGAAAAAACACTTAAGAAAATTTTTTCCTGGCAAACAAACTTTTCAATAAATTATTATATTTAAATTATTAATCTCTTATAATCTATAAATACTGTTTCTGAAATATGTCATAAGATTAAATACTTATTCAATAATTTTAAAGAATGTCAACGAAATTTATATTCAAATGATGCTCATTCATGTTCTCATAATTTTTATGAATGTTAAAAATAGAAAATGCAACATACAGTAAAGCAATTATTAATTAAAATCAATCATTATCACTAAATAGTGAAATTCTGATTATAATATGAGAGGCATTCAAAAAGTAAATTCTGATCACATGTGCAGTTTGGAAAGACAGAATGAACCAAGTTATGTCAGAGCATTGTTGTATCAGAAGTTGAGAGAGAAATGTCAGATATATTAGCAGTACTCTCACATGTTTATCAGACATTTAATCTTATCAGAGAATTAAAATCCTGTCCAATTCAAGATAAGATCATAGTGTTTTGCTGGTTATTTCTTGAATCAGAGGTCAACAATAAATGCAGATAGGTATTATGAGATCTCAAAAAAACCTATTCACCTAATCAATAGCCAACAAGGCCTGCAAATTGGCTAAAACATCCTCTGGTGACATTACTAAAAAAACAAGTAATAATGACAATGTCACCAGAGGATATTTTAGCCAATTTGAATTATTGCAGAGGTGTAACCTCCATAAAAAGGTTGTCTCTGTAGATGAAGATTGTGTGTTGCTGGTGATTGTGAAGACAGGTGTTAGAAGATTTCTTGCATTATCTGTATTTTTATATTTTACTAAATGACAAAGTTTATGAACACAGTCAGAAAGTAATACTTGACTAATTGCATTGTTGTAAAACTAAACATTAGTACACTCCACCATACCTTTAAAATGCAGTCTACTTTGGATAGTTATCTAGCGTTTTTGGTCTAATTCATAGACCTTCTTCAGGATTGATGTAAAAAATTTGAACTTTCCCAATGGTAATTCCAACAACACACGTTCTACAATCTTCCGAAATTTGATTGCGCATGTCCATTTGCTCTTTATAATGCCGCCGCTTTCCATGCCAATGCTATTCTATTTGACTCTCAAAAATTTATATTTAGCCTCTTTTCTCTGTATTTATAAATGTGCCAGGCCTCTGCATACTTTAGATGTCGCCTGGCACATTTATAAATACAGAGAAAAGGGGCTAAATGTAAATTTTTGAGAGTCAAATAGAATAGCATTGGCATGGAAAGCGGCGGCATTATAAAGAGCAAATGAACATGCGCAATCAAATTTTGGAAGATTGTAGAACGTGTGTTGTTGGAATTACCATTGGGAAAGTTCAAATTTTTTACATCAATCCTGAAGAAGGTCTATGAATTAGACCGAAAACGTTAGATAACTATCCAAAGTAGACTGCATTTTAAAGGTATGGTGGAGTGTATTAATTAATAATGCAGTTAGAGATTTAATAACTAAACATTAGAGTAATTAAATAAAAATAAAACATTTTTTAGTTGTGCCATTTTTCTTGCAGTGATCTGTTTTAATTATTTAAAAGATACTGATAATTAAGTTAATAAAAACTGGATTATATTTTAAAAGAAATTATTAAAATTATATTCAAAACTGGCTTCTTTTAAAATTTTAAAAACATACACATATTAAGTACTTAATCTAAGTATTTTATTATTAATTTTACTAAATTTTTATAAAAATTTTAAAGTCCCTTTGGAATATTCTATAGCATTTTCATTAATAAAATGTAGTTTTTCCATTTTTGCCTCTTTTTATCCTGTGGGCACTATTAGAGGCTTTTTTCCAATTCTCATTGCTAGGTAACTTTAAGGGTAACCAGGTGATAATTATAAAACTGGACATATCCAGGATAGACTGCCCACAAAATATTTCTGGGATTAAATCTGGGTGAACAGCCTCAGATCATCCAAAGCAATGGACTAATGTCTTAACAATCTTAGCCATTTGGCATTTGTCAAATATTTATTTTAATTAGCTCTGTGCCACCTTTGATGACTACACTAATATTTTAATAAGTATCAAACTAAATGCCAGAAACTGTACACAAATAGTAAAACACCATGTCATTTTACGTTGGAGACTAAATTCCAGAGCAATGTGTACAGTATATCAACTCTATTCAATCAATACAGCCAAACAAACTGCTGGATTATTTATCAGACTAATCAATAAATTCCAGATTCAAATGCTTAAGAAAGTAATATTTATTCCAAAAATATGTGTTTATTTTATCTATGGTTATTTTTTAAGACAGCTTTATTTTCAAAAACACTGACAATTAATGTCAGTGTTTTTGAAAATAAAACTGAATTTTGAAAATAATTGAATATTTAAAGTTCTGACTTTTAACTTATTATGGCTTATTTTTGAATTAAATGACGAGTGGAATATCACTCACCAATTCCTAAGATAATATTAACTTAACATACTGAATCAATTTATGATACATACGAGTACAGTTTGTGACTTGAAATTTTATTCCAGTGCAAGGTTTTCCTCCATTAGATGGAGAAGGATTGTTACAAGAGCGCTGTTGACAGAAACACATATCTCCTGGACTATTTGATCCTACTTGAGCACATTCATACCATGCTGACCAAGGTCCCCAATTTCCATCAACTGAAAAATAAAAATTTAGTATTAATATTAGAAATAAAAATTAAATTTATAATAATTCATAACATGATTTGAATATGAAATATAAAAATTAAATTAAATATAAAAAGTCACATCAATAACAAATATATATATATATGATGTATAATTAAATTAAACCAATTTGTCCTGTGTTATGTGATCTGCTGCATATGAACTGTGATCACATGGTATGTGGTGTGATAGTGTGTAGAACAATCAAGAACAGGTTTATTATCTTCACAGAATATAAATATGTTTCAGATACTTATAAACATGGCTGATATTATTATTGAATGAATTATCTAAAATTTATTAGTAAATGGTTAAAGTTTTAATAGCAGGAGTGTCAACCAATTGAAATCTATTGAAGAAAGCATGCAGTTTATGGTAAGAAATGTGTAAATAAAAAAAAGTGATCCAATATGTGAAAGATTCAGAAACTTGAAAGACATATGGAAAACAAGACTTATGTAAGGATATATAATGCTCTCCTACAAAACAAGAATTAGCAACTCTTTGCAATAGCAGATTAAATATTGTATATTAAAACAGTTACATGATAAAAATAAAAATAGTTTCATTAGCACTTGAAGTTTGTGTGTATTTGTATGATAATTTTTAGTATTTTCAAAACATTTTCGTGAGTTGTCTTTCTTTGATGCCCCTCATTAGCAGGAGTTCTATTGCCTTGCTTGGCAGTTTAACAGTGATAGACAATGTCATAAATAGTCTCATATGACAGGCTCAATTGAGGAATGGAATGGTCTCTTGGCAATCTCTTTTCATAAATGCTTATTAAATGTTGTCATCTGTTTTGGTAGTACATTGTTTTTCTGAGCATGGTTTGTCTTCCAAAAATTCAGGTTTTTCAGAAAAAACTCAAACCATTTGTAGACACTTCTCTCCCTCCCACAAATCTGTTTTCTATAAGATGATGATAACATTATATTAGGAGACTAATAAACTCTGCATTCAGTTTCACTCATCACACAATTTCAGTATCACTAAGAGCAGTGACTCCTGAGAAACTATTTTTCTGTACACAAATTTTAGTTTTCTATAAGATTAAATATCATTTTTATGTTAAACATTTTCATTTATAAAAAAAAATGAGAAAACGCAATTAAATAATAAAAAATGAGAAAACGCTAATATAAATCACTCGAAGTCGGTCTAGGAAAGAGTGTTTTAATTTACTCGTCTATTTTTAGAAATTATATTTTTAGTATTCTTACCGATCCCATTGTTTTATATTTTTATATTTCTTCAACAATTATAGTACTTTATCAAACAAAAAATGGGGATAGAGGATTTGAGGCGACAAATACGAAGATTAACAATAGATATAAATTACTTCAAGTGTTTCTTGAGAGAAGAACACACGCCAGTGACACTTTGCTTACCTGCATCTATACGTTCAAGTATTCGACAGAGTGATATACAGAAAATAGAAAGAATGATTATGAAATCGGCAATTAAAATAAAAGGTAAAAAAATATTTTTGTTACGTAAAAAATTAAAGAAAATGAAAAGAATTAATGGAAATAATGTATCTATAGACTATAATTTAGATCCTTACTTATTTAATAAAAGTATTAAGTTAAAAAGTAAACTCGAATATCCTACTTATTTGGAAAAACAAGAATAATTAGAGAAATTGATAATTAATTGTACCAACGTAGTGATACCTGGTGACTTTACGAGATTTCTGTCGTGGGGATATAATACGAATCTTCCAATATATGCTAAACCATATCCGATAGTGGCTGATATAGAAAATGTTATTCAAAAATTACCTGGAAATAATGAGGAAAAGGCGATGTTACGGTCCAATATAAGTAAGGATTTGGAAAAGTATAAAGGTAAAAATGGTTTCATATCTGATAAAAAAGCAATAGAAATAAATAAAAAAGCTAAAAGGTTAATAAAATGTTTTGATAATAATAAACTTTCTATCCNCTACACAGTTAACAAAATCCACTCAATCATCTCCAATACAGTTCTGCAAGTGATAGGAAACAGTCACAACTGATTTATAGATTTAACTGTGTAGTAACCACTATAAATTGAGCAAAGGTTTCAGTAATGTCATTTTCACTGTAGTTCTCAAGTTTTGCATGTGAGACTGAAAAACTTCAAGAGTCTTCCTTACCTTGCATCAAGATGACCTTTCAACCCTCTAAGGTATGCTATTTGACACTGAAATAGTCACAGATGATTAAAAAATCAGAGGGTAGGGTTGGCTCTGCATTTGTAGTCTACAAAAGCCAAAGAGAATACTATTCTAAGTTAATAACTATTCTATTCTAATAACTAAGACTCTAGAACAGGCATGGCCAACATACGGCCCGCGGGCTGGATCCAGCCTGGCTAATGAATTTATGTGGCCTGCGATTAATCTTTCAATATTAGCTACTCAAGTCTGAATAGCTCGGTGAAAAATTCTAACGCCTAAAAAAGAAAAAAGGTCAACAACTCACTGGGCGTTTAGTTAATGCTCCATTACAAATCTCTTAAGTACGTCCTCTTAGTGCCCACAGGGTGGAAAGAGTAAAAGAAAAAAAAATCTCTTAAGTACAGCGTAGAATGTTGATAATGCATGATAATGTGAAAAACGTTTATGTACAATTTAATCTCTATGGACACCACACTGAGATCTCACACCACCTCAAAATCTTCCTAGGGCTGCCTCTGGTTCGGCCTGTGAAAAAAGTTCTCTTTCCAATTTGGCCCAGAGGCAAAAGCTGTTGGCCACCCCTGCTCTAGATCAAGACTGCTCTATCTATCAAATAGAACTCACTGCAATTCACTGTGCCATCTTATAGTGAGCCAAAGATGGCACAATATAATAAGCATAAAATAACTTATATTTTAAGATAGTCTGGTATTAATCTTATCTCTAGATAATAAGGAAAACTTGACTGTATTGCTAGGAACATATTGGATATCTTGCTTTCAAGCTCAAATGTATTTAATATTGACAGGATCATAGAACATCAAAGAATCGAGGAAATGGGAACACTAGCTCACTAAATCTGTTATAACTGTATCAGAATGTTTATCAGCTTACACTACTTCCAGCCTCTACAATTAATCTTCTAGGATATAATTTCTCTCTGGCAGCAAAGATGGAAGAAACTATCAGTTACACGTATCAAATAGTTCATGTAATCCATTCACATACAGCATTGCAACAAGTAGTATGAGACAATGTAATTCCTCTCAACAGTTCAATAACAACTTAAATCAATTTGGAAAGAACTCCAATCTTTGTAATGTATATGTTTTTATGGGATGGTGTGGAACACTCTAGATGCATTGCCTGGGAAAGTGGCTTTAATATCGATACAATTGGATAAACAAAGCAATGACATAGTCTGTTACAAATGAAATAGGCTATATTTATGCAACCCTATTAAAGTCACTTTGCTAGCCAATGCATCCTCTGTCTTTACACATCTAATGCTGGAAGATGCAAGTATATCACTTATCCCAATTCTAACTTTCTAACATTGATTTGCAATGTGACTAGTAAACTTTTAACAAATCTGGTCATTTATAAAATCACATCCATAACTACTTCAACAAGCTCAATATTATCTAATTTACAAGTTTTAGTCTAATTTCAGTGCTATTATCACTTATTTCAGGTAGGTTGCATGCATTTTGCTTGCAACCTTGTAAGTTAACTTATTGTTACCTTACTGTTTCCAGCCTTACTGTTACACAGTGTGTATTCTGTGATTCTTTATTATCCACTTAGCAATTATTTATCTCTGTACCATTCTCATTTTGACATAGTTACTTAGTTTTGTGTAAAACACCCAATTTTGCTTAACAATATTAGGCTTTATTAATAAAAATAAGATGAAGTGATTATGTAACAAGAAATGTAGCTCTGGGTTTTATTAAAATTGACAGAAAGGCTGACAAAATTTAACAATCTTTTTCTAGTACAAAGATTGCCTTTCTTTTTGAAATGTTTTATAACAGTTTTCAAATTTAAACTAATGGAATATTATAAAATTTACTTCAAAAGCATATGTCTGTAAAATAATTCCAGTGTATCCATGAATCTTTATAAATTATTTGAATAATTATAGAAATTGTTAAATAAAATTACAAGTACATTTTATTGTTTTACAAATCATTCTTCTAAAAAACATCTGTGTTATAATCATTACCTCTAATCAATATCTCAAAATACACATTTTCAATTATGTTAATATAATTAGTTCAATCGTTTAGATATATTAATTTAATCAAATTATAATTTTAGTAGTAGTAGTAATAATTATTATTTAAATTATTAATACTTTTATTATTTAGTTTATTAATCAGTTTTATTTATAAATTATGGAACATATAAACTTTTAATTATAAAATATTAATCTAGTACAGTGGTACCTCAGGATACGAAATTAATCCATTCCGAAACTGAGATTGTATCATGAAAATGTCGTAAGGTGGATCATCTTTTCCCATACGATTACATATAAAACCAAATAATTTGTTCCAACGCGAAAAACATACTCAAATTAAAGCCAAGTAATACATTAAAAAAAAATAACTGTAGTAAGAAAAACAAATGAAAAATGCGAACTAATGTAACGTCGTATGGTGAGTTTTTGTTCGTATTGTGGAGCAAAAATATGTTCGAATTTCATGTCGTATCCTGAAAATTTCGTATGCTGGGGCGTTCGTAACCTGAGGTACCACTGTATAACATAAATATTATAAGAAAAAGAGATACCTGGTCTGTCTGTCCGTGGACATTCAATTGAATTTTGAATCCAAAAAGAAACTTTTGGATTTCTATGAGGTGCTACAGTACAAGATAACTGATGTTCATTCCAACCACAGTATGGATCCATAGCACTTAAACATTCACTAAAAATAAAAATAGATTTAATATATTTCAAAATTACATTAAGACATATTTCATTTATTATGAGCAATTCAAAATTTACTTTTTTGACTTAAATCTATCACATCGATGAAGTGATATTCTAAATACAGCTTCACTTGTTCCCAAATAAATAGAATTCTGAAATATGAAATTTGCATAAAATTAAATAAAATAAAATTAGTTGTATATACATGTATACATAAAATATAATGTAAATATAATACCGTATCTTTTAATAACTTCATTGTATGTATTTTAAATGATGAGTTAGATGGAAACAAATGAATTTCTTCTATTAAACAGGCAGTTTTTGACAAAGGTGAAAGAGCTAATTTTCTCAAAAGTCCATCAACATTTACAACAAATATAACATGAATTCCATCATCATTTTTAGTAGGGACAACATCTACAACCATGTGACTTAATCTGAAAATCAATTTAAATTTGATAAAATTAAATGAAAATCAAATTTTAAAATAATAATGTATAAATTTTGATAACATTTACCTATCTAATTCAATGTTATATATTGGATAAAATGTACTTGGTTGAACTGCATTATCCATGAGTTGATATTTTTCAGAATCTATCAAAGCTTGCGAATCAACAAATGTTTCACACTGTTAAAATATACAGTACAGTTAAAAAGTCAACTTACAAATTTTTCAAAAAGTATTTTTTGAAAACGTATTTTTAAAAAATAAGAATTTTAATTTAATTATTATTTTCCATAAATTTGTATATCATATGACATACCAGTTTAATTTGAATAAACTACATATTTTCTCTACATATTTGAAGGCAGTTATCATTTCCTTTGCACAAACCATTTGATGTCTGTTATTAATAAAGTATTTAAATATTTAATTATGAAAGTTTGATTTTTACAGCAAATTTATTTGAAATGGCAACTGATATCTTTTTACATACCAGTAATAAGAAAATAAAAAATACTATACAATGTATTGTATATTTTACATATTTTATTGGGCTGCAATTTGAAAAAATTGTAGCCTATTAAATTCCCACTGTCACTGTCTGTCTGCCTGTCTTTCCTTAATCTGAAGAACAGAGCTAGATAGATGAAAGCTGAAACCAGATTTGAAAATCTTAGGGGCAGGAGGCTTGATTAATTATATACAAACTTCTGATGTGAATCAGAAGTTACATTATTTCAATTCAAAAATTTTCCCCTGAAAGGTGTTAAACAGATGACTGGTATGACTTTATTGCTAACAGGAAAAGTATAATGCACAGGGGCAAAATACTATTAATTTGAGGCATATACATTTGAGGTGTAATTTGAGGTTATAGAACATACATTTTAAATTAAATATATTAAAAATATGTCTAAAAATTGCAGTCCGGGATTGTGACGACATCACAATAAATAATTGCTCAATTTTTATTAAAGTTTTGTTTGTAATAAATGTAGTATCTATCTACCATAGTTTATAGTATTTATTAATTTTACATTGTTGCTCTAAATTTTCAGAAATCCATGAATAATATACACAGCTACTCTCCAAGGATGTTACTATTCAAATAAAACCATTACTTTATTTTGCATGACACCCTTGCACAGGATGGCATTTTCAAAATATAATTTATGCAATTGTAAAATAATCATTCATATACTGAAGATAAATCAAAATAATTATGAAAAACATCCAGATATGTGAAACAAATAAAAGAACACACAACATTACTAAGATTCAAAGAAATGAATGCTGATCTTATAGGAAAAAACAAGATAAAAGAAAGTAAAAGGTTTTTGGTTATAAGGTAAAAATCTATTAGAAAGATTCTTACTTTATAACACTTAAATAAAAATGTGTTATAAGATTTAACAGTTTCCTTCTCAAACTATGGAAATAACTTTTGAATAATTTTTTAATATAGAGGGGTTGACAAAATAATTTGAACATTCCATTTACACAGTCATCTTCCTGAAACATCTGTCATCACAAGTACCACTCCTTTTTCCCACATTTGTATAGCTTATAACTATCAATAATTTCATTACTTTATTTACAAAGAATTCTAAATTGCTTTAAAGAATAAAAATATGATAACAGAATGATTATCTGTTCATGTTATGTTAGATAACATGAATAATTTCCATTATTCTGTTATCTAATGGAAATTAGATAACTCAAGTTAATCAATTAGCTAACTTCTGTTATCTAATGGAAATTAGATAACAGAAGTTAGCTAATTGATTAACTTGAGTTAGAAGTCTTGTAGGGGAATAGTTTCACAGCTTTCTCAACTCTTTTTACAAGTTCCACAGACTGCCAAATCATCTCATAATGATTTGACAGAAAAAATGAAAAGCTTTGTTGAATCTCTCCTGTTGTTATTTTTGTTTTCTAGTAATTTTACCCTCAAGAAGCATATTGAAACATCTAAATAGTAAAAATTTTTTACTGTCAGCTGTTACAGGAATTTTTTAGACTGCTGGCAAATCAAGCAACCACAGATCTATCATTAACAATGATCTTTCTCAGAGATGGAAAATTGAAATTTGAATTTATTTTCTAACATAAGAATTCTAATTGTATATGTTCTATACCTTTTTAAAATATTAAATGAGATATTTTAAGCTAAAAATGATCAAACATATGTAAACAATAACATTTCTAAAAACAATTTGGATATAAATAAAAACCCTCTTTGACTGAAGAAAAGAAGACAGAAGTGTGATTTGTGTGCAAGAAGTTTCCATGTGGCCTCTCACAACAACAGAAAAGACATTCATATATCCTCGGTACTTTTGTTCTGTCCTGTCTGCCATTGTTGCTACTTTTCATCCCCTATTTTCAATCTTCCTTTCTTACAGTAAGTTTAGTGTGTAAGGGTTAGTGATAAGAAATTCTTTTTGTAAGAATCATTCTTGTTTATTGTACAGATTAGTATTACCGATCATTGTCATATTTTTGTAATTATCCTATCAATGATCAGGTTTAGGGTGTCTGCTGGAAAAACCAACTAGAATTAGAATCCATTTGAACCTGTATATAATTATATCATGTGTAAATAAATTAAATAAATAAATTTTCTATCATCTACTGTGCATGTTTTTTTTTGTTGGGTGTTTTCCTTAGTTGACTAATGGGAACCCTTTCATGAACATCACAAAACACACAGTGCATGCTTGTGTATTGTCTTAGTTAAGGCTAAGTACCATACCATACATATCCTTGTATGAATGGTATGATAAGTAACTGTGGATGGTTATATCTAAATTAAATATGTCTGGAAATGGAGAGTTGGACAGAGGTCCAGGTAGAGTTGCAGGTTCAAGTCCTGCTCCAAGATGACTCTTTTCTTCCAGAATATTCTAAATTATTTTATAAATATTAATTTAATTTTAATTATTAAATATAAGAGACGATGCCTAATGCCTATCTGTAGTACCAAATTACTCAGAATTTAATTATTAATAGTAGTGGTAAAGTAGCTCAATTCAATTCTGCAATTGTTTGGCTTATTATATGGCAAATTTATACATGCATAAACATCTCAAAGCATCAGGCTTTGAGATGTTTATGCATGTATAAATTTGCTTTCTTGACTTCTTGTATTTTGTATTAGACTGGAAATTAATCTGTATCTTAACTGCTAGTATTTATTAAAAAATTTAATCTTAAATCATTAATAGGTCATGGTTGTAAAATCAGTAGGGAGTATAGTTAAATACTTGATGTCACTCATTAATGTATGAATAGATAATTGATGGTCCAGTAGATCAGTTGTTTGCCACTGGACAGTTGTGTAATGTGAATCAATTTTAACTCATAATCAGAAATTAAAATTTGTATATAATCTGTTCCAACATATAACCCATACCCTTGGGTTATGTAATGGGGCAGATTATTCAAATTCTTTCAAATACAGATAACCAGCAAATTATTTGCCCAATTGAGTCTTCCATTATTTTAGGTCCCAGTATTTTAAGAATTACAGCTACAGTTTAGTTTTTTTTTTTATTAGACCTCATATATTAACTCCAGCACTTATTCAAGAATTAATAATTCATTTATTACATAAATTAAACTAAAAATCATAAAAGGTAAAAAACAAATACTAACATATATAAAATCCTGACTTTTGGTGTATAAAATTCAGTAGTTCCATTAACACAACTGTAGTTGCAAATTTTAAATATTTATGAGATCAGCATTAGTATAAGGCAAAGTTTACACATTGTTTCTTACACTAGATCAATGGTTCCCAACCTTTTTTCATTAGCGTACCCCGTGACGTCATATCTCTAGATTGTATCCCTCATTTAAGAAATTTAGTGAGTACTCGTATTGTTAATTTTACATATTGTAACTTTAAATTAAAGAAAAAAAAGTAAATGAAAAAATGTATAATAAAGTTGTGATTGTTGCAAGGAACATATTTTACCTAATAATTTTTTAATACTATTAGTTTGTGATACATAATATATTATTTTTTCTGCCATAATAACTAACTTTTTTCTGTACCCCTAAACAACCTATCGCATACCACAGGTTGGGAATCGCTGCACTAGATAATATGAACAGAATAAATATACAAACCTAAACAGAATTAATATGTTCAAAATAGATTTAATATACAATGATGATATACTTTTATGTAGAAATTTACCTTGAATTTTATAAACTGTAATTACCTGATATAAATGAATTTTTAAAAATATTAATAATTTTCCTTAATGATCGTATTTAAATATCCTCATTCATCCTCAATTTAAATATCGATGAAATGTATACAACTAGCTCTTTACATTATGCAAATTGTTTGACTGCTTTTAATATTAATGTTAAAAATATACTAATTATAATTATATCATCCAATGTGACTGAAAAAATACAGTACTCACTTGTTTCATTTTCAGATTTCAATAATAAATAATTATGCAAATATTTCTATTATCCACTACAGAATTTTCAAATTAAAAATTTATGAATGAATGATTCATGATTTATTCATGAAACAAATTCATTATCAACTAAAAACAGAAGAATTAGTTTGAGAAAGGCATTAAGCAAATTTCATATTGAACAAAAAATTTTACAAGATTTGGAACACACTCATTTGGAGGAGGTTTTTATTTAAATTAAGCATTTATTTTATTCAAGTATACACAAAAGAATTTTAATGTATGCACTTTAAAGTATGTAAATTATGAAAATTGAAAACAATTAGTAAATACAAAAAGTTAATGGGTAAAAAATTAATGGAAATAGAGAATAAAGACTTTAATCATAATTAAGTGAAATAATAATTAATTTTTAAATTACAATAGATTTCAAGAATAATATTTTAAACTTAATATATCCTATGTAATTTAAGATAAGAACATATGGCAATTGAAATATTAACAGTTTCAAATTGAGGTTTTCAAAAATTTATTATTTTATTGTAAATGAAAGAAACATTTCATTAAAGAATTAAAAAAATATTCAATTGAATACAGTTGATTACTGGTTTAAACTATCTGCTTACACTAATTTTGGTATTTGAAATTATTGAATTTTTTACCTATAATGAAACAATATGACAATGAATTTAATCTTGCTTTCAGACTTACCATAATTAAATATTTGGAAATATTAAATAAAATTTAGTATAAATTCGCCTTCAATACAATACCAAAAACATTGAGCACTTCAATGAGAAAATGTTAAATTGATAATTTAATAGAATTTATTACTTACCTGAAAATGTTTTTGAGCATTAGTTTGTTTTTCCCAAGATGACATAGGATTACTTTGATACTTAAAAGGACCATTAAATGATCTGTGAATTGCTGTCAAATTGTATGAACAAATGGCAGAACCATATATACTGTTTCTATAATATAAAATAAATATAAAATTAATCTATATATATTATATAATGAGTGTTTCCATGATAATTTAACTAATAATATCCCATAATTTTAGATTTTAAACTAAAATGTATAAAAAAAAAAAATTTATATATTCTGATAAGCAATAGATTTAGAATATAATAATAAAATATGTTATGACATCACAATTTTTAATTTGCTAAGTTAAACTGCTCTTTTCAAATTTATAAAGCTAATATTTCTCATAATTATTTTATTTAAAAAAAAAACAAATAGCTTTAAAACAAATATAAAATTTTAAAATTTTACATACATATATTAAAATTTAAGTGTTTTTCTATGTATCAATATAAATAGAAATGACCTTTCTTGACAGTCTATTGAAGCTTACAATGGCTCAGTGTAATTATTAAAAAACATGAACTAAAGCTAAAAAATATTCTTATTCACAATAAAGTTTGAAATATTCCAAAAATAAAAGAGGACATTATTTTAAACAAAATATTTTAACATCATGATCACAAAGTAATCTATATGAAAAATCAATTCTGTTTAAATAAACATTTAGTTTTTTTTCCTGATCTATGTTTTGTAGTTTGTCTCTCTATATTAAGGTGACCAATTGTCCTCCTTTTGTAAGTTCTGTCCACCATCGAAAAGTGTCCTCTTTTTTAGATATTTGAAGACTAATCTGTAAATCTCATATTCGATTGATGCTGAGCTGATGCATTGCATATGATGTGATGTGACATGTTTGTATTTTACATGACAATTCATCAAGGCTTGGTACAGTGCAGTGAGACCGCATGCAAGTGGCTTTGTTTATTTCTTACCAAAACATGACATGGCACATATGAATGCAATAGAGATTATTATAGTGTATTACTGCTGCAATGAATAAAATGTTTCTTTTATTTACGATATTTTTTCCTTCGATTTATTTGTGTCCTCCTTCTCATTGTAAAAAAGTTGGTCACCTTATCTATATTTATTAACCAGTATTTTAAAGAATTTATTTACATTCGAATGTTTTTAACAATTTATAGAAATACTTTTGTTAATAATCATATCACACATAAGTAAGTTGCATCATAATAAAATACAATACCTTATGTTTCTGAAACGATGCATTATTCCTAATTGACATTGATATTTATTATAATCTCCATAATAAAATAGAAACAATGCATTATTCCTAATTGACATTGATATTTATTATATTCTCCATAATAAAATAGAAACAATGCATTATTTCTAATTGACATTGATATTTATTATATTCTCCATAATAAAATAGAAACAATGCAAAAAGTTTAATTTATATACTGCCTAACATAAAATTATTCTGATTTCAATAACTGTTTTTAATTTAACTAAAACTTTTCACTTTATCTCTGAACTGTTTAATTTGTTGAAATTCTGTTTTTTAATTCATACTATCAAAAGTATAAAATGTATCAGACTGTTATTTAAAATTATTAGTTTGTGATTTATATACAGAATTATTTTGTTGCACATTATCACATTTTAAATTTGAACTACCATAATTATTTCCAGTTCCAGTTTTGTAGAAATTTTGTTCCATTTGTTAAAAATATGAGGGAGTTCAAACTGTTTCAAACCAACATGTTTTTTTGTGATTTAAATATTTATCAAAACTAAGTAAATCTCCAAAGATGGAATTTCTTCTTCAAAACAATTATATGTTGATATAACTATAGATTATTTTATACAAAGTATTAAGTATCTTCCTGGAAAGTTTTATGACAGACAAGTAAAGCACTTTTATTTTGTTGTTAATTGTTTGTTTGCAATAATAAATGTTAACATTATCATGCATGTATTTTAGCAATAATTACAACTAACCTTCCGAGAATACAATGCAAATAAACAGAAATCAATTGAAACTTAAAAATGTATATTAATCTATAACATAATTTGATAAAACCACTAAATTATCTCCATGTACTCAATACATATTACATATTGAATTCACTTATCACAACTATATACCATAAAATATTTAATCTATTTTTTTATTATATTCTAAATCATGATTCTTAAAAGATAAAGTTTAGAAAATGTTTTCAAAAAAGCAATGATTATGCAAAAAACATTTAATTAAATAATTCTATAATATCTAGTATAAATAAAAACCAAATTACAAAATTGCAAAGATATTGGAAAGCAATAACACATTAAATTTTGATTTAAACAACATTAAGCTTTCATATAAATTATTTATTCTAAATCATGTTAAAATGCTGCACTCAGAATAAAGAATTTCTTCTTTTTATCTTTCAAGTAGCTGTAATATACTAAGAAATACTTCAAACATTATTATTAATAAGAGTTTTTTTTAAACTGTATTTATACAGGATATTGCAGACATATGTACAAATAGTACATATTTCATACATATACGAAAGTTGCAACATAAATTTTATAAAAATTTAGATCATTTTAATCAAAATAAAAATAATAATTAAATTGTAAATCATTATGAATAATAATGTTAATTATTTATGTTTTAAAAATCTAAAATAGCTTTTATTCAGAATATTTGATTTACATACTCATTTGTTGAAAATGTTGCATAGATCATTTGTTCTTTTTCTAAATAGTAAACACTCTGTATTTCATTGTAATAAAATGGATATTGTCCAGGAATTGAACAATTAAGACGTGCTTTAAGGAATGTGGTCCAATTATCTTTCAAAATAAACTGTCCACCTTGATCATTTTTACATATCCTTGCAATTCTAGAATAAATGGTCTGAAATAAAAATATTTAAAAAGTTTAGAAAAGCTTCAAATATGATTTAAATACTCTAAATGCCAAAAACTACAAATCTAAAATAAATCTTTAGAGTTTATTAATTAATATCATACTGAAGATAAAGCAGACCCATGCCAAGATATACTATTAAACAAATTGTTTTTAGTGCTAAAATATGATTTTTAACACTAAAGACAGTTTATTTTTTGCTTAAGTATCAACTATATCTTCAGCAACAAATAATGATGGCTTTTATTTAGTACAAATTCACATTGAATATTCTTATGGTAAATATGAAAAATTTATTAGTAAGAGATGGTCTTCTAACATATTTTTTCAAATTTATTCAACTAAGTGAAATCTGACAAAATATGAATGAACTAGTAGACTTCAAAATTTATATGAAGACAAAACAGAGGAAATAACAATCTCTTCAGAATAAAACCCTGAAAATTTTTAAACTTTTACATTGTGTTAACAAATTATAATCCTAAATTTGGAAAAAATTTTTGTACGTTTTATATATTTCTGAATACAAGACCCAAATCAACAAATGCTTATATAGTTTCCAAAATGATTGTTTAATATAACCTTAAAATAGTAAGAAATAAAAAAATCAATAAAATGACATTTAGTCTGAAATAAAGTTAAATGAACTTTATTAGATATAACAAAAAGTATTAAAACTTTTCTTTCTAATAAAAGCAATGTTACTAATCAAATTATACTTTTTTAATCATCCAACAGAATAATCTATTTTTCAATATAAGGTTAAAACTTTAAAAGAAAAAAAGATATGCACCAAAAAACAGTTGGTATGTAATTAATGGGTTATGGATACATCTTTCTTATTTGTAACATATATTAAATAAAATATAAAAGTTTATATTGTATCATTTTAGTGAAATATGTTTAACTTTAGGAGAACAAACTTTTGTAACATTCTCAATTGAAGAAATGGAATCAACTTCCTTTCAGTTATGAGAAAATTTCTCCAATTTTACAATTACCTATTTGAAGACCAAATCCAATTCTCTATAAAAAATATATTATTGAAATAATCTCAAAAATAATCCATTTACTAGATTCTCTATCCTCTTGTCAAGATCTTACCAGCATGGAAAAGTCCAGTGGTCACTTTTTTAAAAAATATTTCCACAAGACATTTTATACATTATTCTTGTTATTTTTAATAAATGAAAGTAAAAACTTGATGCCTGCAATAGTTAATACAAAAGTGAATGGATTTAAAAATTTTAATTAATTTATTTTATCTACATTGTTCATGTATACCATAAAATCATGTAAGATTGCAAAATGTGTTATCAATGCAACAGTTCTTCCATATATGCAATGGTCTGGAAGAAAAACCAGGAATAATTAACAAATTTCTCAGTAGAAATTGCAAGTCATTAATAAATTTAAAATTTAATTAATTAATTTTAGAAAAGTCTGAAAAAATAATTTAGAAAAGAATTTGATCTCTCAATAACTTTGAGTACAATATATTCTATGAATGTATGGTATTACTATTTGAATGAGTGAAGACGACATACAAATAATAATACCTGGTAACATGTCTCATATGATCAGATGCTGCTATTATTATAGAATATATACTTGTATCAAGTTCTTTAAATAAAATTGACTCTTTTAGTAGTTCATATAATTAAATTTAAATATTCTTTTAATTTTACTACTTTATCAAAACAATCAATTACTTTTCTAAAATATACAGTATATTTTCTGTAATAAACAGTAAATAATATTTATTTATATTTCTATCTAATTTTATTTAATACTGTTTGTATATACATTACACAATCAATGAATTAGAAATACATCTTTACTATGAAAAACTTTTATGTAATGCATTATCATTATTTAATTATTACTGCTCTTAAATCAAATTCAAAATGGATACATAAATTAATATTCGACTAATAAATTGTATCCTGAACATTAAAAAAATAGGAGGTTTTTCAAGTTTCTTCCTTTTGACTTCAAATTTTTTTCAAGTGTTTTTTTATGACAATAAAAAGTAATATTACTACTGGACTAGTTACATTATTAAAACACTCCAAGATAGACCACCTGTAGTCAAAGCAGCTAAGATATATCTGTTCTGAGGGCTAGGATCAAGTTAGATTGAATCCTTATGAATTTTTCATACATGGTTTGTTACAGCTATACCAATCTTGTCATTTGTAATCATATCCTTTTATGGGCCTGGCCTAACTAATGATGGTTTTGTTAAAAATCTAGCAATGTGAGCTGTGTAACTTTCCCAGCTGTTATGAATTTAAAAAAAAAAAACACTTTTATATTATTAAGAAAAAAGTAAAATCATGTATTGCACCATCTGTTATCAGATTTTGTTATAAAAACTTTTTATATTTTTAATTACTATAAAATGGCAAAAGCTGAATTTTGAGGGTAGTAGTGAGTTACTCTCGAGATACATGATCCCCTCTATCTTCCCACCCTCTCCACCTTTCACTGATCTACACACTGAGACAATCTATAAACTTTGAGACTACGAATTAAATTGATAAAATACATTTATTTAATAAAAATTTGAAATTTAAATTTATACATGAGAGAATAAATTCTATTGGCAAAAGTTGTACAACTGCTCTTAGTTGTTAATAAATTTAGTTATGATTATTTAGAGTTTTGTTCACTAGAAATATATGTTATATTATTGTAATTTCCTATCTACAATCTTCAAATTATGTGTTAAAAACCTTCCAATTTTGATAGTACTGATTATAGGCAGCTGCGTATAATATGCAACAATTTTCCCATATCAAAAATTGGCCCTAAAATCATTTTACTTTTTGTTAAGTCAAGAAGGCTTCTTGACATAGTAAAACATCTTATTTACTTGTCTGGAGGACTCAGAACGCAAAGATGCCGATGAACCAATTCACTTCTATTGGCAAATGGAATATAGTGATATTTACACATTCATCAATCCTTCAATAAACATCTCCAAACCGATCTTTGTTAAAAATATTTTTTTAAGTTTAGCTTAAGATGTTTAGCTTAGATTATCAATAATGATTAAGTGTCTGACCCTGACACCTCTACCAAGAAGAATGAGTCTTCTTGACAAAACTAATCTTCTTCACTGTTGATAAAAAAAAGTTTGTTCTCATTGACGGATACACAAAGTTCTTATAAAGGTGTGATTTAATTTTGATACAAAGATTTATTAAATTATTAGTCTTTGGTTATCCTTTTCATATAAAAGTTTTGTTTATAAAAACCTTATGTTTTATTTATTTTTTAAAATATCTTGCAAAATTATTCAACATAATTCATACAGTTTACATAAATACAAGAATTATTTTTTACCTTTCCACAATTAATAAATTCTACTGCAGTTTCACGGAAGAAAAAGTAAACATAATTTTCAATCTCATAAGATGCAACAAAATGAGGTTCTGTAATAATGAAACATTTTAAATTAATATGTATTATTAGTTTAAATTAAAAAGATTAACACAATATAAAATTTAAAATATACTAATTTTTAAAATATGTAGAGTAAAAAATGAATTTATAATTAATTGTTATTCTAATAATTTTTTAAATCTTAAAGATGATTATTTTGTACTGAATTTTAAATTTACACAAAAACTTTCTTTATTATTCTTATTAATTTACTAGATTCTCTATCCTCTTGTCAAGATCTTACCAGCATGGAAAGGTCCAGTGGTCACTTTTTTAAAAAATATTCCCACAAGACATTTTATACATTATTCTTGTTATTTTTAATAAATGAAAGTAAAAACTTGATGCCTGCAATAGTTAATACAAAAGTGAATGGATTTAAAAATTTTAATTAATTTATTTTATCTACATTGTTCATGTATACCATAAAATCATGTAAGATTGCAAAATGTGTTATCAATGCAACAGTTCTTCCATATATGCAATGGTCTGGAAGAAAAACCAGGAATAATTAACAAATTTCTCAGTAGAAATTGCAAGTCATTAATAAATTTAAAATTTAATTAATTAATTTTAGAAAAGTCTGAAAAAATAATTTAGAAAAGAATTTGATCTCTCAATAACTTTGAGTACAATATATTCTATGAATGTATGGTATTACTATTTGAATGAGTNTCTAGATTGTACCCCTCATTTAAGAAATTTAGTGAGTATCCGTATAGTTAATTTTACATATTGTAACTTTAAATTAAAGAAAAAAAAGTAAATGAAAAAATGTATAATAAAGTTGTGATTGTTGCAAGGAACATATTTTACCTAATAATTTTTTAAATCTTAAAGATGATTATTTTGTACTGAATTTTAAATTTACACAAAAACTTTCTTTATTATTCTTATTATACTGATATGTATAATTGTAAGAATTGATATCTCAGTATCTCAGTACAGAGATTCCAGCAATTAGGCTACCTATTACTATTACTATACCAAATTACCAATGAAATATAATACTCAGATTTCTTTCTTTATATTTCCAATTATATTTCTTTATATTTTTAAAATTAATAACTAAATTGTTATTTCCTATAATAAATAACAATTTAGTTATTAATTTTAAAAATCCAATAGTTTGAAATTTTAAGAAAAAATTTTTATGCATCAAAATCAATTGAAATATATATGTGAGCTTTGTATCACACCTAAATGTATTTACTGATTCACAAAGTTAATTATTTTTATATTACATGATACTGACGTAACACGATATATCAGTATCATTAAGTTTATCACTTCTTTTAGTTTCTTATACTTTTAAAACTCTACCCATTGTCTTCTAAGTCTTTCCTCTCTTTCCATCTTGAAATTTATAATTTGCTTGCTCAACAAAACTGAAATAGTAAGGTCAGTGATAAAGGAAAGAAGTGAAGTGCAATAAACAGACTAGGAGTAAAAAACTGGCATTATAAATGACAAGAAAACTATAAGTTTTTCACTTAGCTACAAAAATCAATAACTAAAATTAATTCTAAAAATTGATATTTTTCCACATGTTTTTCTTCATTAGCTGAATAAACTGTTTAAATCTGTCACGAACAACTGCGGCCCGCAAGATCTTAATAAGCGGTTCCGAACTTTGGCAACGTAATTTTACTTTCCTGTTTTTTGTCTTGTGCCATTCCTTAACATTAAACTGATACTCGTGACCAATAACATTCAAACTAAACTTGACCAGTGTAAAGATGAAGATAAACTGTATATTATTAGTTTGCACATCATTAACATATATTATTTTAGTACTTATTGTACTGGCAGTTATGGAGATGTTGGTACTCATCAGGCTTAAAACTTGCAACTCCGTAAGAAAAATGTAGATTGCAGCCAGAAGCCAAGAAGTTTCCTTGCAGCCTGCAGGCAGAAAAAGTTTCTCCTCACTGGCTTAAATGTTAACTAAGCTTTGTTAGTCTACAGATTCAGTGAACAATTGAAAATATTCATTCTTGCCATTCTGCGTCATTTAAATTAAATTCATTTTTTCCTTTAGCATACAAAAAATATTTACACAGTAGAACCAGGGGTCATTCGAATAATCCAGAAACCCATTTGTTTTTGCATATAACATCAAACACTGTGCATTTAAAGTTTCATTGACAATAAATAATATAATGTAATTACTGTATTTAAATATAAATTAATTTACTCAAAATCGAACGTAACCTACTTATTGACCTAGTTTCGTGGCGCTACAATCGACAGATGGCAGCAATTTATAAGTACTGTACATGGAGAGTTTTCTTTGTATACTATATTCTGTGGTATGTATTGTACAGTACAGTACAATGCTACACGTTCTCTTATAGTTATTTATTTTATTTTTATTTTTCTGATAATAGTTTCGGATAATCGAGTTTCCACTGTATATGCCTATATAATCAAATGAAATACGACTTATATTAAGATAAATATAAATACCATTTAACCATTTTGGATCATACTGAACGGTTCGTAAAATTGGTCCTTTGCCCATAATACGATAAATGGCATGATCTTGAGCAGAAAAATCGACGGCAGAAGCGATATAATAATCTCCTTGAACAGTCATTAACGCAGTGCTATTATGATGAGGACTGTAAGGACATTTCGCGACGCCAGACACCCATTCTATTACGGTATTTAAAGAGTTAATCTGTAAACAAGTAAATTAAACGAATAAAACGTCTCTCCATTTATAACCGAAATTTTATTTATGTATATATATACATATTTATTTATTTATTAAAAGAACTTACATCTCTCCACGAGCATTTCGGTGAAAAAGCATTAGTTCCACACGTGAATATTTTTCCATTATAAGACGTTAAAACTCTAATAAAATTTTTACAATCTTCCTGTAATTAAAAAAAGAGACATGATTTACTTTAATTTCTATACATTAAAAACTTATTCTATAAATTAGGTCACTTTTTAAAATGTTTATCTACGCAATTTTATTATTATTATTATTATTAACAGAGGCGTAGATATGAGTTTTAAAGAAAGACAAAGTTTTCACTGTTCTTTTGAAACAGAAAAAAATTTTACTAACCTTCGTTTGACCTTTCTGTATGCACATTAAAATTGTATTTTCAGGCGAGGGCCAATAAGTTTCTTCCAATTTTTCTAAAGTTTCCAATGTAAGTCGAAATAAATTGTCCCTAAAACAATATACATTATATTAGTTATAATTACCAGGCTACAAATAAAAATAATAACTATTTCTGACGTAACAAAGGAGATGGTACAAATTAAGTATTTTCCCTAAATATTGAAACAGAGCTTTTAAACATGTGTTATTTAATAGATAGCATTTATTTTTCTTACAATTATATTATGTAAAACACAATTCGTTAACGATAAAGATCATCATAGTGATGTCATTATGAAATTTATCTTTGGTTGTGNCAAACATGACAAAATTTGCCACAAAATTATTTATATTCTAATGAAATATAAGGTAAATTATATCATACAGTATATTGATTACGAAAAAGATAAGATTAATGTTGAATAATTTATAATGAAGACATTTTAAAATTAAAAACCAATAGAAAATTGATTAGTCCAAATTACAAAAAAAAAAGGATTGAGAAAGAAATATAAAACTTGCCATCAAATAGAAAACGAAACATAAGTTATTATGTTACAAAATATGATATTTTCTCCGTCCTGGCAACAACAGATGAGTTTAAAAAATGGTAATTTTATATCCAACAGTCACTTTATTGAATGACTAGAAAAAAATAAATTTATATACCATGCCAATCAGTTTAATTTTTTAATACAGTACAGTGCTTTATCACTGTTACAGCTTGCTTCAATGATGAGAGTCATAGAATCTTGATGTACAGTACTGTACAAATCACAATACAATGAATAGTTGTGATGAGATATTACGAAAAGTGCATAAAGGAGATTAATTTAAACAATAAGCTGCAAAATAATTACATTAGTTTCCCTTAATTTTGGTATTGTCTAAGGAGTAATGCATCAACAAGCAATAGACTTATATGCAACTCTTCTTTGAGTGCTGTCCTAGTTGAAATAATAATTTCTTTCGAGTGATGAAAAATATCTTTTCAATATCGAATAATTCTATAAAATAGCTTCAGGGCTAAAACGATTCCTCTGTTGAAATGATTAAGAAAAAAAAAAAGACTTTCTTCATCTAAATTCAAAAGAAAATATTTATGAATTGTTCATGAGAAAAATAGTAATAGCAAAGGATAATATCACCAACTAAAAAAATTAATATAAAAATATTACAACTATAATAAAAACTTCAAAAACGAGCATTTGATATATAGAAAGCTTAAAAGCAAACTATAGAAGGTTGTTTTCAAAACATTCCTTTGCTTTTAATGTCAAAATATTAATTTAATAAAACTGTTTCCTTTTAAATATTTTCGTAACAAGACCTATATTATACTGTATTTCTATTGCATTTATTACCCAAAATCATTTTCTCTGGTAAACAAGAAGCATGCTTAAGATATTAAATTTCATAAATCAGTTGTATCATTAAGAGCGAAATTCAATATGAAACATTGAATAAATATAGACAGTCTAAATGTCCAAGTTCTAATTATTTATTTCGATGATTGTATTTAACCAGAAATTTCCCCTTCAAGCATGACGGAATAATTTTTATGAGAAAGTAGAGATTGAAGAGTAGAGAAGATTTCAAAAAATTCAAGAAGAATTGCTAATATTTCTACAAATGAAGAAGTTTATACTAGCTGTTGTAACATAAAGAGTAACAAGAGAAAATTCCACCTGGAGTGGACAAAAACAGTAGAAGTTATAGAGAATTCACTTATAAACACAATACACTACATTCTGAATAAACACTATTGTCTTTTAAAATGTTTCTTTGCTATCTTCCTTTAGTAATAGACATCTTAATATTGTTTCTATTTGTTGAACGATTGTGTTATCTTATTCTATCAAATCCAATCCAATATTTTAATGTAGAAGAGAAAGATTTGTTTGCGCACTGTTAACTTCTAATAGATTCTATTCGAATCGATCTTAAAATGGCAAAAATATATTTTTCTCATGCCTTAAAGAAATTCCAAGGAATTAAAAGTTATAGTCTTTCCCAGAATAAGAATGGAGCTAATGTTCATTACGAAGTAGAACATAAAATTTATAGTGAGCATATACTACTATAGAAAATTATACGATTTGTTTAAACTGTTATAATCTATTCGAAATTCCCGACATGTTTGTAAAAAATTTAAAATTATAAAAATATCATACGACTTCATATGACACGATGTTGAATTTTCGAAGGTTTTATGAACAAAATAAAATACAGTATTTCAATTTTATTGTTTACTCCGAAGTTTCGTTGCTTGGCTACGGTAGAGGAGTGATATCATGGCCGTATTTAAATATTTATCATTAGGGGCGTGGAGGCTGATATCTATAGCTGATACCCGATATGGTTGATACCGATAGTTGATTCAAAAAGCTAGTCAAGAAGGATGGCTCTCATGCCTCCCAATCATCCAACTCGTGATATATTTAAATATATATAGGCCTATATATATATATATTACGACATGACTTTGCCGACTATTCATTAAAATTTGCTGACACGGGGATACGACCTTCAATAGCTTCGCCCTCTTGATACATATTGAAGATCCAGCATATCAGTTCCATTCTTATTCTCGGACATACTGTATATGCAGTTTATTAATAGTAGCTCTTCGATACAGCCATATGCTGATTCGAAAAGCTGGCTCAAAAACATACAAGTACATTAAGAAATATGTTTAGGCATATATGAATACATAAACAATCGTTATATATTTCAGAAGTTTGATATCTCCACACCACATTACTTATAAACTACGACCAGACAGCGAGACAAAATAAGCATCAGCCTGACGCTCTGAAATATCCAGATTAGAGCCGTGTCAGCTCAGAAATTTTCCCGAATGGGTTGAACCGTACATTTTTAAGGCCTTGTCCCTTACCACCTGCAGCACCCATTGTCAGGGCCGTCAAGAGCTTGTATGGAGCCCGGTGTAGACAGGACCGTTTTTGCCTCATAGATTCCTCTTTTCTCTTTTGTTGTTTTGAACAAATGAAATGCGCAAAATGTTTCTTTATTAACAAAAAAGTCTTAAATTAAACATTTTATTTTCTGTTAATAATAATAACGTTAATTATATAGGGATAGGAATCACTATGGGGCAGGAAAAAATCTCCCTCTAAATGGTCCTGTCCATTGTGAGTCTGATCGAAGCTCGCGATGGATCTAAGAAAAGATCCCCCCTTAGATTAGGAAATAAAAACAAGCACATAAGCTGCCTTTCTTCCGATTAAAACAAGGTTTCCTATCTTTCGTATATCTTAATGAGGAATTTTATGAAATACTAGACATGCATGATAGTTTTCTTGAAAGAAGGGCAATGATAAAAGCCCATGCATTAGAATACTTAATCAAAGGAAAAATTATGAAATTTTATGCATTTTGATGCAAAAACACGAATCCATTTCTATAAGCTTACATAACTATAAGCCGATATATAGACCTATAACATAATAATGAAAACAGTAACGAAGCAAACAAAAATTTAATCTTACTACTGTATTGAAAGTTTCATTTCCGATTTAATATAAACATAATTGTTGTACAGTACATGTACATAATTCCACCAAACATGACAAAATTTGCCACAAAATTATTTATATTCTAATGAAATATAAGGTAAATTATATCATACAGTATATTGATTACGAAAAAGATAAGATTAATGTTGAATAATTTATAATGAAGACATTTTAAAATTAAAAACCAATAGAAAATTGATTAGTCCAAATTACAAAAAAAAAAGGATTGAGAAAGAAATATAAAACTTGCCATCAAATAGAAAACGAAACATAAGTTATTATGTTACAAAATATGATATTTTCTCCGTCCTGGCAACAACAGATGAGTTTAAAAAATGGTAATTTTATATCCAACAGTCACTTTATTGAATGACTAGAAAAAAATAAATTTATATACCATGCCAATCAGTTTAATTTTTTAATACAGTACAGTGCTTTATCACTGTTACAGCTTGCTTCAATGATGAGAGTCATAGAATCTTGATGTACAGTACTGTACAAATCACAATACAATGAATAGTTGTGATGAGATATTACGAAAAGTGCATAAAGGAGATTAATTTAAACAATAAGCTGCAAAATAATTACATTAGTTTCCCTTAATTTTGGTATTGTCTAAGGAGTAATGCATCAACAAGCAATAGACTTATATGCAACTCTTCTTTGAGTGCTGTCCTAGTTGAAATAATAATTTCTTTCGAGTGATGAAAAATATCTTTTCAATATCGAATAATTCTATAAAATAGCTTCAGGGCTAAAACGATTCCTCTGTTGAAATGATTAAGAAAAAAAAAAAGACTTTCTTCATCTAAATTCAAAAGAAAATATTTATGAATTGTTCATGAGAAAAATAGTAATAGCAAAGGATAATATCACCAACTAAAAAAATTAATATAAAAATATTACAACTATAATAAAAACTTCAAAAACGAGCATTTGATATATAGAAAGCTTAAAAGCAAACTATAGAAGGTTGTTTTCAAAACATTCCTTTGCTTTTAATGTCAAAATATTAATTTAATAAAACTGTTTCCTTTTAAATATTTTCGTAACAAGTAATGAGAATATCCGGGGTTGAAAATTAATAAAAATAAAGACAGCAATTGCATTAATTCAATTAACTGATAAGGAGTAAGTACCCAAGAACTACGCAGTATGATAAAGGAACACAGATATAAACAAATAAAGAAATAGTAGGTTAAGAAACATAAAATATATAATATATTATTTTCTATGTTTATCATTTATATATAACTTTTAAATTTAATATAGCCATTCTCTGACGAGCTAAACTTTACTGAAATCGATTTATAAGTAAGTCGGAATTTCCCTAAATAACTTACAAAGTACTGGCAACTATGTGCATTGAACTTGACTGAAGCAAAGCAGACACGTTCGAAGAACATATTTATTCAATATTTACAACTTACGCAGAAAAATAAATTGCAAAAGTGTCTTAATCTTTTTATAAACATTTCGAAGTACAAGTTCCAGTATAAACATCATAATGAAAAATAATGAGAAACGCAAG